TTTTTCTGAGAAACCATTTATCTTAATTATGTTGGTTATGTATCTTACAATACTACATCATTAGAATATTTAATAAATAATTGTATGATCAGGGTTCTCTCTTAGAATATTAAAACTTCTAGTTATAGTGTTAGGATCGATGCATGGTTTTTGAGAAAGTTCAGTTTAGTTTGAACCTCATCGTTTAGAGGACATCGTCATCCATGTTATTTTATCCTGCAACTACCCCTTGCATTGACCTAATAAAGGTAACCTAATAAACCAAAGCGGTCACTGCCCTAATAAAGCCTCGTGCATGTATTCCGACATTCTAAAAGCATTGTGACGTCATGTATATTGCAATGTTTACGCCATGGCGTCATAGTTTCAACTGCAGAAATGTGCCTAAATCTATCGAAAATAGTTAGTTTTGGACGTTCAAATGTAAAGAATATGTTGCAGGATAAACAAAATACATGATAAATGTCTTGAAATATAAGCGATATTTCTTAAGAGTGGAATAGGGTGAAATCTGTCCTAGGCTTCAGGGCAAAGACTGATAACAGCTAGATCAGATCTTAAGTCAAAAAGATTACCCGATAAAGACTATCTATCTTTGAAAAGGTAAGAGTACACTTAATTCTTTGGCTCAAGTAACTTTTAAAGAAGAAACACAGATAACTTAATATGCCTTGAAGGAAGAAATAAATTTAAAATACCATCATTCCATCCCTTGATTGTGTTAATTCCTCTTTCTGCACTACACTGATTTCTCCTTAGGTAACCAGCTATTCCAAGATATTCCATTAGTCTGTCTGTATCTGCTGATTCCAGTGTATTCATTGTTAAACCCATTGAGGACTTCCATCCATGCAATGAAAAATCTACATGAAATGATTTTTTTTTTTTTAGTTCAGTTAATTCATGTAGACTTCTAGCCAGAAAGTAACTACATCAAAACTGCAAACCAAGATGCATACATTTTGGTGTCTTTCATGAAAATTTACACCTTCCTTACCAGTTTATTTTTTTTCAAAAAATTATTTGTTTATTTAAGCATACATTTTTAAAAATATAATTTCTCAATTTCTACAATACTTTTTTAAGTATCAAACATTTTACTTGAATTTTGTTGTCCAAATTCACATTCTTTCTTTGGTAAGCGCAGTTCTTTGAAGATTACAACATCCAACAAGCATGGGAGATAGGACTCGAAACAAATGCTTGTCCTAAAATTAATCAAAAACTGGTCTTCTGCTGCAAGATCCCATATTGTAAACCTAAAATTGCACAAAAAGAATCATACATCAATTTGTTTTTAATCAAAATATAAAATACCAAAACATACTCCATATTAAATATCAAACATACCTCATTCTGACAACATTTGCTAGTCTGACATCTTTTTCCACACCAAATTCAAATTCTTGTAAATAGAGCTGGAACTGTAATTTATCAATCCCAAACTCCATCTTCAGACTGCATGGATCAATATCTAGATACACATGGAAGTTGTGATGAATTGGTGCTGCTCCTATACAGCAGTCTATCCCAGTACAGGACTCAGTCACAGCACATCTCATGTTGGAGGGAAGTGAGGGCAACGATCCAATGGGCTTAGGACATTCTGTGACATTAATAATTTTAAAAGTTTTTTCTTTATCAAATTACTGCCATCAAGCACTTTGACTGCTCACTAAACATCCAGAAATAAGCAAAATTTTCAAAAGGTATATATATATATATATATATATATATATATATATATATATATATATATAATTATATAATTTCATGATGAAGTCAACATTTCTGTTAAATCTCTATGATGAAAGAAGTTTTTCTTAGGTGTAATGTTTTCAATATTTCATCTTCACCCACCTGAGGCAAGGACCAAAACAACATGACATTTCCAATTTTTGTAGTGAGCTAACTGCATGCTCATTACATCTTGCCATTTGTTGCTACAGCGTCGTGCCATAAGTATTCGCGGAAAAATGGCGGACGTGATCTGAGAGTTATCGCGCTTGCAACATAAAAATCAACCAAATACAACAAAAACAAACAAATGCTTACCTTTAGTACTTTGTTAAGTGTCCCTTGGATCGTACACATGCCATGATGCGTTTTGGGATAGATTTATAGAGGCTTTGAACATATTCTATGGTGAAATTCTGCCAAGTGTGTAAAATAACATCGAACAGCTGATCAGGGGTGGTAATATCTCCGGCATGATTTTGGATCTGTCTTTTAATTCTATGCCAACAGTTTTCAACAATATTAATGTCCGGACTCTGGGCTGGCCACACCATACCCCGAATATTATTTGCAAGTTTATATTCCTCTACAACACGAGCTCTATGTACCGGCGCATTATCGTCTTCAAAAACGTAGTTGTTTGCAGGGAAATGTCGGGCAATAACAGGCCACAATTGATTGTCCAGGATATTTATATATTTCTCAGCATTAATGTTACCTTGTACCTTGCATAGAGTCCCAGGACCATACCAGCTGATGCATCCCCATATCATTACGGAAACTTTGGGTTTTGAGATCGCATACATGCACTCCGGACGGTACGATTCCTGGGCGGATCTCCAGACATACACACGATTATTTTGCCCTATAACCACTTGAGATTCATCACTTAATATGATAGGTTTCCAGTTTTGTTCAACAGTCCATCTTCGTTTGAGTAAACACCAGGCTAAACGTTTCTTTCTATTTACTTCTTTGACAACCATACGTTTTCTCACTACTCTTCTGTAAATTTTGTTATTATGTAAAATCCGCTTGACTGTCTGTTCACTAATAGGTTCACAATAATTTCCATCATTAAAATCAGTTGTTATGTCCTTCAAAACACTTCCCCGGTTCTTCCTAACCATACGAAGTAATCTTACTTCACCACGTTTTGACACTTTCCTGGGACTTTCCACACTTTTTCGCTGATGAAACGTTTTCAAAATTGATCTACATGTAGATTCGAGAATTTTCGTAATTCTTGAGATCTCACTTACTTTATGTCTGTTTTCTTTCAAATCTATAATCAGCTGTTTTATCTCTAGTGACAGTTCTTTTGATTTTCTACCCATCTTGTTTACAGTCCGTAATGTTCGGCAGTCTAACTTTAGCAGACGTCAAACATGACATCACGGTAAACTTTGACCTTACGCGGTTTCGGGGATGATGTCAAAATACAAAAAAGCGATTGCATAATGATTTAGGACGATTTGAAAAAACGCGAAGCGTGAACGTTTTACGGCGGCCGCCATTTTTCCGCGAATACTTTTGGCACAACGCTGTACATGTAGATGTCCATTAGTTAAGAGGGCCTTAAAAGGTGTTTGTATTATATTTTCTGTAAACTAAATGCTGTCCTAGGCAAAAGGTTAACAAATTGAATGATTTTGGTAGAGGAAAATTATTAACTTAATACGGTAAATATGCAAGAAATTGCCCTATCCAGATGTCAAGAAGAATAGATTTTGGAAGAATTTCTAATGTTTTGGTCCCCACCTCTCAAGTCCCAAGATAAGAGGGGCCTAGAAATTTGTTCCTCTTTATCTAATTGTGTTACATATTTTTAAAAACTGGTTTAAATTGAAAACTACATTTGAATTATGCTAAAAATGTTTAAAATGTATAATGTGAAATGGCAGATGTTACTTAAATGACCCAGAAGCTTTAATGAAATGAATACATTTTTAAGAAAGAATGCATATATAAGCTTAAGATAAAATAAATGTTACAAAATACTTACCATTTTTAATTCCATCTCTTGAGGGTCGGTATATTGCACTAGACAATGAGCAAGATGGGTTGGATAAAAACTGAGGAAGACCAAGTTCTTCTTTGAGTTCTTCTAAAGCAAGACCTTGTATGCCTTCAAAACTCCTCAATACATTGTCCTTCATAAACTGTCTCAAAGAAAAACCTAACAAGAGGCCCAGGGGCCACATCGCTCACCTGAGCAATTGGCTAGGAAAAAGCACACATGACATCAGATCAGAACTGAAAGTTTACTGGGGGGGGGGGGGGGGGTGTCTTGAATTATAACCCCCCAGGGGGTCATGATTTCAACAAACTTGAATCTACACTACCTGAGGATGATTCCCTATAAATATCACTAAGCATGGCTTTAAAGTACTGGTACTTGAAAAGAAGATTTTTAAAGGTTTCCCTAGATATTCCAATGTAAAACTTTGATCGGCCATTTGGCCCCACTCTACTGCCGGGGGTCATGATTTGAACAAACTTGAATCTACACTACCTGGGGATGATTCCACATGAGTTTCATCTTTCCTGGTCCAGTGGTTCTTGAGAAGAAGATTTTTATAGATTTTTCCTATATATTCCTATGTAAAACTTTGATCGGCCATTTTGGCCCCACCCTACCCCAGGGGGTCATGATTTGAACAATCTTGAATCTACACTACCTGAAGAAGATTCCACATGAGTTTCATCTTTCCTGGCCCAATGGTTCTTGAGAAGAAGATTTTTATAGATTTTTCCTATATATTCCTATGTAAAACTTTGATCGGCCATTTTGGCCCCACCCTACCCCAGGGGGTCATGATTTGAACAATCTTGAATCTACACTACCTGAAGAAGATTCCACATGAGTTTCATCTTTCCTGGCCCAGTGGTTCTTGAGAAGAAGATTTTTAAAGATTTTTCCTATATATTCCTATGTAAAACTTTGATCGGCCATTTTGGCCCCACCCTACCCCTGGGGGTCATGATTTGAACAAACTTGAATCTACACTACCTGAGGATGATTTCATATGACTTTCATCTTTCCTGGCCCAGTGGTTCTTGAGAAGAAGATTTTTTAAAAATGTCATTAATTTTTCTCTAATTCATAATCATCTCCCCTTGGAAAAGGGCGTGGCCCTTCATTTGAACAAACTTAAATCCCCTTTACCCAAGGATACTTTGTAGCAAGTTTGGTTGAAATTGGCCCAGTGGTTCTTGAGAAGAAGATGAAAATGTGAAAAGTTTACAACAACGACAACAACGCCAACGCCAACGTCGACAACGACGACGACGACGACAGACAACGGACAAATTTTGATCAGAAAAGCTCACTTGAGCCTTTGGCTCAGGTGAGCTAAAAATGGTAAAGGTCTTATTGAGAGAGTTTTATCTTTAGTGGCGGATAGGATTGGTTGTTTATATAGGAACATTTTCAGTCCATTTCATTTTCACCCTCACTATCGTTAGCAAAATTAAAATATGGAAAATTAACAAAGATACCACAGCTTTTTTCTGAGCACATGTTAAGTAACCAAAGTCAAAATATCTGTGTATTCATCCCTAGATGCATCATCCATGCAAGTTTGTTCATAAAAGGACTTAAAGTTGCTTAAGAGTGAGACTTTATTTAAAACTTTTACTTGATTGCTCACCCAGAAGATAAAACTAGCATTTCAATCAAGTCTGGTAGAGTGCATCCCTACGTAAAGATAAATTCATAGTTACATTGCAATGAACCTGAGGCAAAAACTTTAACCAAGTCACTTATCCAGAAAATGTAAATCAGATCAAGTTCATATTGCTTTACAATTTCTGGATGAGTGACTAGGTTCAAGTTTTTGCCTAAGATTCATTGCAATGTAACTTTTTTAAATCAACCAATCAAAAGTTATGGGCAATGTTTCAGTTTTTACAGAGAGACAGGCAGACAGACTGTCATTGCAAAAACATTTATGGGGCATAAAAAAAAAACGTACCAGCTGTATGAAAATTTGTCTCCCATATACATGACTGTTTAGGAAGTTTGGCTTTATTGAGGATGTCAACATTAATCAAACAATCTCCACCATCCTCTAAACAGATGGATACATCTGCAGACACAACATACACTCCTTCCCCATAATTGTCCCATATAGTAAATCTAAAAAAAGCCAAGTGATCCAAATGCAAACAATCAAATTTCAAAAAGCTCACCTAAAGCACATTATTGACAAGAAAAAAAAAGTCAAAATGCAAAATTAATTCTAGAAGGAGTCTAGTTATTGGCACTTTTTTGGAATTATTTTAGAAGAAGAAACTTATATGTTTTATGTGAATACTGATTTAAGTTATGATTAACTAGTGCGAAAATTGCATCCTTTTCTTTAGATATGCAAGGATCCAAGTAATATCTAATCCAATGTCAACTAAAACTAAGCAGATTTAATTTTCATAAGAAAGCATTAAGTGAAACTTGCTCTATCTCTTGCAACACAACCACACAAAAACAAACTTACCCAAGTTTTACAACACCCATTATCACCATTTCCTTTCTTGTACCTGCCAAAAATAAATTGCCTTTTAGACATAAAGAAAATTGCCTTTTAGACATAAAGACATAAAAGAAATAAATAATATCTTAATCTTGAACCCAAAAACTTTACAATCAATGAGGTAATTAAGAACTACCAAATGAATGTTTCTCCATTAGGAAACTATATATATAGAACATGTAATTTTATACTTTTCTGCCAGTGGCCTTGAACATACAAGAATGACCTTGTGTCAAGGTCATGAAACACTATGACAAGATATGTCATATATCAAGCATGATTCTTTCATGATTCTTCTCTATTATAAAGTAATAGCCTGGACATGATTGAATACACAATTGGATGGATGGATAGATAAACAATTTGATTCATTTATGACTCCAGCATTTCATACAGAGCCTTCATAATGAATAACTAAATGATAAATACCAAAGTCAAAGAGCTGTAGAGAGAGACTTTCTGTCAGTTTCTCAATCCCAAAGGTTATTTTCTGGTTACAAAAGTCAATGTCCAGTTCCACTTCAAATGTCCTTCCTATTTTGCCCACCTCTATACAGCAAGATACAGCTGTACAGGACTCCTTAATGTTACAAGATGCACTTCCTCTTAATTGCGAGATTGGTATATGCACTGGACATTCTAAAAGTAATATATACAATATAGTAATATCTGTACATCAGCTAAAAAAAAAATGAGTTTCTGAAAAATGTCTACAAGCATTGTGTGATAAAATGTTACGATACATCTATTATGTTTTTAATATCATACAAGAGGACCAAAGGCCTTAACAATCACCTGTGTATGATTCAACACTATAAAGAATTATAACTTAATGTTGGGTTTGATATTGAATGCTGCCTTGATGTAATGATAGGATCTTTTGTGAGGAGATGCTTTGCTGTGCCTTTGATTGAATACATTGCAAACTCATTATACTAAAATTATTTTTGTTCTCAACTGTATATTACCTGAAGACCAGCCATCTTTCTGTAATTTGTTGATACTGTATGGTTTTTCTGAGCGGGAACAGGATTTCTCTTTCATGAATGAATCAATGCCCAGCAACTTGAACAGAGAGTTGGACAAAGCTGAAGAAAGGCTTCCCTCCAGTGACAATCCTTGCTCATTCATCCAGTTTGTCAGAGAAAAACCTAAATAAGGGAAATAAATTGTCATGAATATTCAGTTTAAAAACATTCTGGTGAGGGTAATAATTTTTACACTTACCTTTTGATTTGAAACCCATTGAAAGATCACATTCAAGCACTGGCATGAGAGTTTCATGGAAAACAGAGGCATTAAATTCACATTTATTTGGCTCCAGGCAAATAGCAAGACTCAGATCAATGATGTATTTCTTTGATACTGGTAACTGATTGGCTTTAAACCTTAAATAAGAGACAAAATTTTCTGTATATTACATGAGAAGGGTAGTTTTTTGAATTTATTCTTAAATCATATTTTAAGTATTCATTTTTAAACTTTCAATTCTGCTTCTTACTGTTTCTGAACTTACCTCATTTGCACTATATTCAAAATGTTGAACTCCATTTCTTTGCCTTTAAAAATACAAGAAAAAATATACCGGTATATCAAACATATAGGTACAGATGTATTATGATTTAATTTTATTCAAATGTAAACACAGAAACATCAAATAAAATTTCTTGAAAAAAATTGTATTAAATTCATTATAATATGGTATAGATAAATAGAGCTCCATCCAAACAACCTCTGACCAAGGGGCCATGAATTTTGTTAACTTGGAATTAGTTTAGAATCTTGGGAGCAAAAAAAAAATATTCAAAAAAATAATGCATTTTCACTATATGATCAATAGAGCTAAATAAACAGGGGGAGAGATTTCTTTAAAAGAATTAATGCATTTTCATTATATGATCAATAAAACAACACAACACCAAAGACAACACCAAAGAACTTCCCAATTCTGGTATGAGTTCAATCCTATGTTTATTACAATCATATTAATAGCTTGACAGCTTGATTATTAAGAGTATATAAAGAAAAGATTTCATTTTTCACCTTCATGCAAAGGTGCCTTATTCCAAAATTGGTTTAGCCATTCAAGAGAAGAAGTTGAAAATGTTTAAAAGTATACAAACTTTACAAACAATGCACATAACACATGGTGGATGAAAAAAATCACAAGAAGACATCTGGGTGATGCATATGATCTAAAACAAAAAGTTTTGGCCCAAGTTTTATAAAATCTGAAAGTGATTATGCCACAAAATATAGCAGGACAGGTAGTAGACAAACTCTGAAAAGCTGCCTTATGTCTTTAGTTCATAGGAGTACTGTGTAAGTATAGTCTGAACATGTTAAGCTAACCTCTAAACATTGTTCTTTTAAAAAGCCTTAATACAATTAAGGCCCATTAAATTAGATTCTCTTTCTCTTGCAGAAGGGTATTCATGTCTTCATTGGATTTTATAATAACCATTACCCCAATAATTGTTGAAATCCAGAAGTCCATATGAGAAGGTTTTTTTCTCTATTCCACCAGAGATGACATAATTACACCTGTCAAAGTGGAGGGAGAAGTGAAGCTTCAGGTTCAGAAGACTGAAGTCCACACAACAGTCAATCCTGGTACAGTTCTCTGTCAGAGCACATTTCACATTGTGGAAAGGAATCGCTGGGGGCACTACCCAATCCAATGGACAATCTACAAGACATTGAAGACATTAGGTGAAGTTTTGAGGACATTTGGACAAATTAAATGAGATTTAATCTTATATCATTCTGAATTTTCAAGAGAAATTGACAGCAAAACACAAACACTCTGTGTACAATAATGTCGAAATGTATTCCATTAGCTGTGTGTGCAAAAAAAATTGTCAGAGAGAGAGAGATTCCCAATTTCCTTTATATTCCTATTATGAAAAAAAAAATGATTGCCCATTCTGGCCTCAGTCTTCCCTTAAGATTTGAATAAACTTAATTTTGCAATGAAACTTTCCAATAAGTTTCTTCTTTTTTTCCTGGCCAAGCAGCTCTAATGACACTTGATGAATAAAGCCCTTCAATTTTCATTAATTATTAATTTTCTCCCCTTGAGAAATCGCACTGGAATTCTTTTAAGCAAACTTGAATCCTATTTACCAAAAAGTATGCTTTGTGGCAAGCTTGGTTGAAATGTACCCAAAATTTCTAGAGGGGAAGTAAAAGTGAAAAGTCTTCATTCATGATGCCAGTAACAGACAAAACACATATTTTGATCAGAGATTTTAAATTCGAGGATTTTTTTTTAAATTAAGCATATTTTAAGAAATAATTTTACCATTGCTCCATCCTTTTTTTGAAGGTGAATAAGCATCATCATGGATGTCACATGTAGCATCAAGGAGGAACTTGTCTATCTGCAACTGCTGAATCAACAAAGTCTTTGCATTGTCTTTCAAATCAGTCAGTGATGCAATATTCATGTTTTTCATCCAGTTTGTCAAAGAAAATTCTGAAATTTTAAAGAAACATTTAAAAAATTCCAACCTTCTACTCTAATCTTTATTGCTTATTTTTATTAGGCCAAAAAAAATTAATTTCTTGGTTCTCAGGCCCTCCCCTCATCTCTTCCAAGGGCACCTCATTGACCCTTTTTATTGCTAAATCAATAAAATAAAAACAACAAATCACCTCCCTCATTTTCTTAGGTTTTGTACAATGTAAAAAGCTGCCTCATCATGTTTTGGGGGCAATAAAAAAGTAAAAAAAAAAAAGCCTCCCTCCCTCATCATATTTCTTGAAAAAAGGCCTGAGAACCAAGGAATTAATTTTGCATGGCCTTATTGATAATTAAATTAGTATCTTTTTTTAAGAGTTTGGATTGTGTGCACTACATACTTTGATCATGTGGAAGCATTTTTCTGACAGCTGGTATTTTTGTGTTAGAGAATATAGGTATTTTTATAGAACAGTCTCCATCATCAAGACACACAGACACATGAGCATTAAAGATGTACATATCCCTGTTAGTCAGTGGTTTTATGCTGAAGCTACAACATATAATTTTATACATAATTATCCATTAGTTTTTGTATGACACCATGACTACAATATATAGTTGTCATTAAAATGGCTTTTTACATATTTCTATTTCAATACATATATAATTATATATATATATTCTTATGTGCACTATTTTTCTTATGCACCTCTCTTAATCTTTTCATTTCTTGAATAATTTTTGCACCCCCATAATTCATAAAGTTGTCATAAATTATGAGAGAGAATTTAGCTATCACGCTTACTCATGTAAACTGTTTGCTAAATTGTTATTCCTATGTGAGAATTACAGTTAAGTTTAACAGCCATTAGATAAATACATATTCATGCATCTTTGAAATTTAATATGACTGTATACTTACATAAATGCTATTAAGTTTCCGTCAACAGATACTTTTACTTCATCTCCCCAAATATAGTCAAATAGTTTTACTTTGTATATCTTGTTTTCAACTCCATAACTCAGTTCTAGTTTATTTAGGTCTAAATTCACGAAGAGATGTAAGCCTAGTCCCAGCACTGGGATCTCTGCACAACACTCTACTCCTGTACAGTAATCTGGGATGTAACAGGACATAGGACTCGGGATCCGGAGTGGAAGGTTGGCAATAGAACCAGGACAATCTACAAGATGCAAAATGATTTTTTTACCTTAAAAATTCATATTTTATTTTTTTTAAAATTGCTAGCATTTTTTGTTTATCAATTTAAAAAAGAATTTCAAGTCAGAAGTCACCATTGTTTATTCCTTGTATTGATGGAATGTATGGTGGTCTTGTTTGGTCACATTTCTCTTGTTGAAAGAAGTGTGTCAAGTTTAGTTGCTCAAGTAACAACATCAGAGCTCCTTCATCTAACGTTTTATCTGCTGGTAGGCCCTTCTCTCTAATCCAATTTGTAAGAGAAAAATCTGAAAGATATTTGAATAGTTTAACCCTTCAAGTAATTCATAGGAATAATACATTGCAATATAACAGTATTTTCTTTAAGTTTTGGGAGAATTGACTATTGGAAAAATTAACATATAAAACTGGGGGAAAGGGAACTTTTTCAGAATTGGGAATTGAGCCATTTAATGGCCCTAATTATAGACAATTGAGGGCCCTGAAACTGCAGGTAAGAATAATGTTTAAAATATTCAATGAAATGTAATTAGATTGAACACAAAAAGAATATGTTAAGAAGTTTAGTAAATGAACAAATCATGTCTTTTTGTAACATGTGAATGTTATAAAATATTTTTACCCACATAAATAAAAGAAAAATATGCAAAATAAAATTGTGAGTTAATCATAATAAAAAAATAATAAGCCTACTTTGAAATTTAATGTATTCAATACTGCCACATTCTCTAATCTCTTGATTTTCCAGCAACAAGAATCCTTTCTCATTAGGAATGCAAAACTTGTTTCCAACAATAGGGAAACAGATCGTCAATCTCATGTCCACTAAAAATCCTCTGCTTTCCTCAATTTTACTTATTTTGTATCTGTAATAAAAATTCAATACATCCCTTAATACAATTCATAATATAGTATTGTGCAATTTAAAAATTTCAACGTATTAAAAGTTAAATATAAAGTCTGCAATAACCCCCTTCCCCGCAGTCACACATTTTAATGTATATATTAAAATTTCCTATATAATTTCTAACGCAAAATCATGCGAATACCGTTTTCCAGCAATCACATATTTCCACGCACTTTATTGCCAAATTTCTTCTATTTTATACTTGCTTAAATCTCATAAAATATAAAAGTTATTTTCTTATTAAAATATTACGTGATATTATTTACACTAAACTTTAGGGAAACTTGTACCACACTATAAAGTGTTTGCGGGGAAATGGTAATGTCGTATTTCTAAGACGGGAACATTAAGTGTATGCTGCATAACAATTCAGTAAGTTGTAAAGAGTTAAAGTATCAACTTACACAATTTTAACAGGTGGTGGATTTCCAGAGCCAAAAGTCAAAACTGCTTGCTTCCCTGCAAAACATTTTTTCTTTAAGAATCTGCTAATTCAGGCTCAAGGGCCAAAAAGAAACTTAGACAGGCTCACTTTTAATCTCATGCAGTCTCACTTTCAGAAAAGGAATATATAGTTGTCTAAGAATATAGTTGTCTAAGTTTTATGGTCCCGGAGCCAGTAAAACTGTAAAACGCGAATATTTGGCGCACTACTAATTTTAGCGCTTTTCCGCAAGAGCCTCTGAACGCTCAAATTTATGATGCGCTAAAAGATTTCTAAATATTATTTTTTTGTGTGTGTTCAAAGCTTTATATTAAGTACATGTAAACCGGAACACGGGATTACGTAATGTAGAAGGGTCGTTGGATTTTAAATATACACTAGCACTGTACATGGTAGGTTCGATTGAGAAAGCTCTGCCAAATTATAATTTAATTAAACTATAATTGTTACCCTGGTAGTTTTTACCCGGCCGATTCTTATCATTAGCACCTTAAAAGTTTGACTTCTCGGTGTGTCAATCATCTACAGTGAAACTTGTATTAAGCAGTCACCTACGGGATTCATCAAAAGTGACCTTTATACAGAGGTGACCTTTGAAAAGAGGTTCATCTTTTTTAAAAAGAATTTATTTACAAATTTAGTCAGTTTCGCGTTTATATTATTTATTTCACCACAAATTATACAAGAAAGTTAGGTATTGGACATTAGTGATCTCACTTAAATTATTTTTTTTTAATTTACTTTTATGGATGAATTCAAACTAAATTTAATGAATCCAAGAAAATTAATTAATAAAATACCTGTATACTGAATCTTACACTTAAGGGTGTTGCATTATCCCCCATCAAAACAATTTTTTTCTTTGTGTAAGGAATGAATAAAATCAGTTAAAAATTATTTTATCTAAACTTGATTCATAAAATTAACCTCTGTACATGTATTTTTTTTAAATACATGTACACAACTGTATATGATTTGTTGTATAATAAACTCTCAGATGATCAACAGGTGCACAGGTGTCCTGAGCAATGAACTTATGAAACGTTACTAATCCCTAACGGTCGTTTCCTTTGTGAAATTCACAACATACCCAAGGCACAATGTGTATATAAACTGTAATTATGGCTTCAACAAATGATGCAAGTTTCCTATAGGTGTGAAAATTAAAATGCCTATCAAGCGTAATACATTTACAACTTTCAGATCATGCAGAGTTGGGCACGATATCGACACTGTAAATATAGTAAACAAAAATATAATAGTCATTAAAAGATTAATATAGTTCATATGTTGTTCTTTTTTAAAACTTAATTAAAAATCCAGAAGTTATAAGACCCTGATAATCAGCTATCGATAATACTAGTATTTGTTTTTTCCTGTTAACTTTTTTTCATCATAAGCATAACACGTTAGTTATTCGAGTTTTGTAAAATATAGAAGCAGTTAGTTTGTAAAATGATTCTTAAATATGCTTATCCAGTAAAATAATTGCTCCATTTATTAATTTTTATTCACGATCCCGCAACACTTAACTGATTATTTACTTTAGTAACAAAAATTGGGAATCAGCTGACTCCAGATCAGATCACGTGATTGGACAAAATGGCCGCTAAAGACAGGGAAAAGTGGCGATTTCGTTTGAAATTAGGTGACCGCTGACCGCGTTACGCAGGTGACCGCTAAATAGAGTTACTTTATATAGGAAATTTCGTTGGGAGGAAATAAAATGACCGCATAGGACAAGTGACCGCTGGATAGAGGTGACCGCTATGACAAGTTTGACTGTATATGGCCTCGAGGTAAACAATGCAATCAAGCATGGCGATTGAGCAATACCGTCCTGATCATAATTACCGTTTATTCAAGTAACTTTCTTTCGATGCATGTATTGTTTTGATATGAAAAAAATACGTAAATACCGTAAATCTAGAAATTTTTATGTTGATTTTATTTTGTAAATCTGGGTCAAAATGCTGTTGATTAATTTTTAAGTTTCAAAATTTTGCAAATGACCACTACTTTGTTTACATTTTTTTATTGTTGAATTATTTTTAAGAAAAATATTTTTGCGAATGCAATGAACTCGCAAATTTGCTAAAAATTTATCTACTGCAAAAATAACCAAATTTACCGTACTCCACTTCTTTTACTTAAAATTAAATTATAACTAGATATCATTGAGATGGTGGCCATCTCAAAGTGTCCAGCTTTTAGCAATGAACATGAAAATGAAACATAGCTGAAAAGGGTTTATTTTGAAGGTATTTGAGATTAAAGGGGACAAAAAGTATTACTCCCTGAAAAATAATACAATAAAAAAACTTTTAGAAATGTATTCTCTATGAAAACTGTTGCATATCCTCTATCATAATATGGAAGGAAAATCACAAATGTTCCGTATCCAGTCAATTTGAGGCTGAGTGGACGTAAGGGAAAGAAATTATGCAGCAAACAAAGACTTTAAAAAAAGAGGCTATCTTTGACCTTGACCCTTCACCTAGAAACTTTGTTCAAGGTCACTGCACATTCACTGACCAAAGGCACTCTTTGAGTGAAGTATGAGCAACATTGGATTGATAGGAGAGAAAATATGCTCCAAGGATTTTCATATAATTCTGCTATGATCTTAACCTTTGACCTAGAAACATGGTTCTAGGTCACTGCAACCTTTTACCCAAAGACACTCTGTTTGTGAAGCATGGGCCAGATTAGGCCAAGGAAAGTGAAAATATGTTCCAGACAAGAATTTAAACAGAAGGGCTATTTCTGACCTTGACACTTGACCTCAAAACTTTGCTCAAGGTCACTGCACACCCTTTACCAAAAAGGCACTCTGTGGGTGAAGTATGAGCCAGATTGGGCCAAGGGGTGAGAAGATATGATCCAGACAAAGATTTTTCATATCATTCTGCTATGACCTTGACCTTTGACCTAGAAACATGGTTCAAGATCACTGCACACCGGTTACCCAGAGGCACTCACTGGGTGAAGTATGAGCCTGATAGGGCCAAGGAAAGAGAAGATATGATCCAGACAAAGATATTTTATATTCTGCTATGACCTTGACCAATGTTCTAGAAACATGGTTCAAGGTCACTGCACATTGGTTACCCAAAGGCACTCCGTGGGTGTATTAGCCAGAGTGGGCCAAGGAGAGAGAAGACATGATCCGGACAATGATTTTTCATATCATTCTGCTATTTACCTTGACCTTTGACCTAGAAACATGGTTCAAGAGATTGGGCCAAGGAGAGAAGATATGATCTGGACAAGGATTTTCATATCATTCTGCTATGACCTTGACCTTCGACATAGAAAACATGGTTCAAGGTCACTGCATGCCGGTTACCTAAAGGCACTCCATGGGTGAAGTATGAGCCAGATTGGGCCAAGGAGAGAGAAGACATTATCTGGACAAAAAATTTTCATACCATTCTACTATGACATTGACCTTTTTTCTAGAAACATGGTTCAAGGTCACTGCACACCGCTTACCTAAAGGCACTCTGTGGGTGAAGTATGAGCCAGATTGGGTCAAGGAGAGAGAAGATATGCTCCGGACAAGAGATCTCGGACAGACAGACAGACGGACAGCTGGAAGGACGTACGGACAGACTGATCAATACAGGGCGCCCGCCGAGCGGGGCCCCAATAAATTTTACCATTGTGCCATGTCCATGTGATTGCAACACCATGGTAAACTTGACGAATGTTTACTTATATACGGGGCCCGGAGTGCTATTGTGTTTTCGTGCTTGACTAGTCAAATACGGGTGGGGATAAAAACAAGAGGCCCAGGGGCCATAGTGCTCACCTGAGCACATCGGCTAGGAAAAAGCACATATCAGATCAGAACTAAAAGTTTACTGAGGTTGGGGGGGGGGAGCTTGAATTTTAACCCCCCAGGGGATCATGATTTGAACAAACTAGAATCTACATTATCTGAGGATGATTCCATATAAATAATACTAATCATAGCTTTGAAGTACTTGAAAAGAAAATTTAAAAAGGTTTCCCTATATTTTCCTATGTAAAACTTTGATCAGCCATATTGGCCCCACCCTAACCCCAGGGGTCATGTTTGAACAAAATTGAATGTACACTACATGAGGATGATTCCACATTAGTTTCATTTTTCCTGGCCCTGTAGCTCTTGAGAAGAAGATTTTTAGAGATTTTTCCTATATATTCCTATTTAAAACTTTGATCGGCCATTATGGCCCCACCCTACCCCCGGGGGTCATGATTTGAACAAAATTGAATCTACACTACATGACTTTGATTCCACACGAGTTTCATCTTTCCTGGCCTTGTGGTTCTTTAGGAGAAGATTTTTAAAGATTTTTCCTATATATTCCTATGTAAAACTTTGATCGGCCATTTTGGCCCCACCCTACCCCGGGGGGTCATGATTTGAACAAAATTGAATCTACACTACCTGAGGATGATTCCACATTAGTTTCATCTTTCCTGGCCCTGCGGTTCTTGAGGAGAAGATTTTTAAAGATTTTTCCTATACATTTCTATGTAAAACTTTGATCAGCCATTTTGGCCCCACCCTACCCCGGGGGGTCATGATTTGAACAAAATTGAATCTACACTACCTGATGATGATTCCACATGAGTTTCATCTTTCCTGGTCCTGTGGTTCTTGAGAAGAAGATTTTTTAAAAATGCCATTAATTTTTCTTTAATTCATAATTATCTCCCCCTGGAAAAGGGCATGACCCTTCATTTGTACAAACTTGAATCCCCTTTACTCAAAGATACTTTGTGGCAAGTTTGGTTGAAATTGGCCCTGTGGTTCTTGAGGAGAAGATGAAAATGTGAAAAGTTTACGACGACGACAACAACGACAACGACTACAACGACGACAGACAACGGACAAATTTTGATCAGAAAAGCTCACCTGAGCCTTCGGCTCAGGTGAGCTAAAAACAAAATATCACATTTATATATTTTAATGACAAGTGCAAGCGCTAAAATTTATTTGCGCCAATGTATTCCCACTTGTGTTTGCGCTAAAATACGTATGCACCAAATTTTCTCGTTTTAAAGTATATTGAACTCGGTGTCATATAATATATTGAACCCCACATTATTTTGTACCCGGGTTCAAAATATCACTGCGAAATATTGAACCCCCTATGAAATATCAAACCTGGTGTTCAATATATTACGACCATAAAATATTGAGGCTTCCTACCCTTTTAAGAGGGAGGGGGGTTCAAAATATTATGGCCATAAAATATTGAGTCCCCCTACCTTTTAATTTGAGAGGGAAGGGAATCAAAATATTATGGCCATAAAATATTGAGTCCCCTGCCCTTTTAATTTAAGAGGGAGGGGAGAGGGGGTCAGAATATTATGGCCATAAAATATTGAGTCCCCCTCATAAAATGATCATCATTTAATTTTTTTTTTAATCTGTACAGTTCATCTCGTTCATGAATGCTGGATTTAATTGAGTTAAAGTAAGAATGATCTTACCAAATTCAAATTGTAAAATGTTGGATTTAATCAAAATTTTTCCTCCAAATTTGATTTCAATGGAAAAATCACATGGGTCCAAGGAAAATGAGAAAGCAACATTTCTTGTAATTCTTGCATTTGTATCAGGAAGGTTGAAGGCTAAATGAAGACTGCACTCAATTCCCCAACAGCTGGATGGCTGAACACATCTCAACATGTGTTTAGTAGATGGATCTAAATACTTTGTTGGATCAATTTTCACAGGACAATCTGTAAGTATAGATGCATAATTCCATTCAAATGACATATTAAATTACTGAATTATTTTCTTGGCTAGAATTTGCTTGTTAATGTCAAACTTACCCATGGGTGAAGGGGGAAGAGAAATTTCTTCAGAAGTTATCACGTCCTAAAAAAAACAAATGCAACTGACCTGTATATGTCAGAAATGATTCAACAATTCAAAAAAGAAAAAATGATTAGGACTTACATCTAAATCAAACTTTTTCAATATTAAGTTAAAGGCATCTTCAACATTTTCCATGCCTATGTGTTTCAGCAGTTCTCCAATAGATCCATTTCCTACAGCAAGAAGAATGTTATGATAAAAGGCAATAATATAAGGAGTTATGTACCCTATGTGAACATAATTTCATCTTATTTTCTTCCAATAAAACAAGCAAATCAAAAAATTCAAAAACCTGGTAAAGTGTAGTTTTCGCATATAGGTGATGAGATTTTAAAATCTGTGAAAAAATACTCATCAAGAATACAATCAGATGGTGGCTCCACACAGACTTGAAGTCCAAAACTCAGTAGGAAGATGCCTTTCTCTGCATCCTTTTTTATCCGATATCTACAAATAAAGCTCTGTATAATACCGTGTTGGAAGATTTTACATGCATTATTTTAATACATTCATTATGTAATTTTCAAGAAATTATTCAAAACAAGAGATGTTTGTAAAACACTTATGCCCCCCTCCCCCCAAATTGGAATTTTTCCAAGTCCAAAAGGGCATAATTCTGTCAGAAATATTGCGATTGTACCCAAAAAAGAACTTGACCAAGATATTTATCTGATTTATCTGTATACCAAATTTCATTTCAGTATGTGCAACCTCTGCAAAGAAAACGAAAGGAAACTGCAAATAACTGGAATTTTTTCTAAGTTCAAATGGCAAAACTCTGTCAAAAATGGTGCGATTGTACCCAAAACAGAACTTGGCCTAGATATTCATGTGATATATCTGTATACCAAATTTCATTTCAGTATGTGCAAAGGTTGTGAAGAAAATGAACGGAAACTAAGTGGACCGACAGAAGCAGTAAAGCAATATACCCTCGCTTCTTCGAAGGGGGGCATAATAAAAACACACTTTCTTAACAAATACATTAATTTTAATAATTTTTACCTTAAAAGTGAGTCAAATGAACAGGAATTACAAAAATTAGCATACAATCCACAAATCAAAGTACTCAGAAGTACAGAGAGCCGGGCTCATTTACAGAGTAGAATGAATTTACAGAGTAGAATGAATTATTTTAAAACTATCAATATAAATGATAAGACACTGACAGTGAGTTTTTCAATCCTAGTACCACGGTCCGATTTTGTCAGAATCAGAATTAATATGGTACCGCAGCTGATGGTAGCTCTAGTTGTGTCATAGAGAATGGAAGAACAACTGACTGGTTCAGAGTACAGACAGGAGTGAGACAAGGATGTGTTATGTCTGGGTTCCTGTTCATCATTGTGATAGACTGGATCATGAGAAATACCAACAATAAGAAGAGAGGTATACGTTGGAAGTTTATGTCCACTTTAGAAGACCTGGATTATGCAGACGACCTTGCACTTATGTCCAGCAAACACAGCGACCTGCAAGAGAAGACCAGTAGATTGCAGGCTGTTGCGGGATATACAGGCCTACAAATTAACGTGGATAAAACAAAAAGCATGAGAATAAATGTGAAAAAGAAGGATGCCATCAGGTTGAATGATAAAGAAATAGAAGACGTTGAAGCATTTCTCTACCTAGGTGCCACAATGGACAAGAACGGAGGAACTGAGGCAGATATTGGGAGAAGGCTTGGCTTAGCCAGGACAGCCTTTGCATCCCTTGCCAAGGTATGGAAGTCAGCACAATACAGTACAAAGACCAAACTTAAGATCTTCAACACGAACGTTCTATCTGTGTTGCTGTATTGTGCCGAACTATGGAGAACAACAGAAAAAGATGATGAAAAGCTTGATACATTCCACCGAAAATGCCTTAGGAGGATCCTTAAAATACACTGGCCTGAAAAAATAACAAACCAACAACTATATGAAAGAACAAGGTCCATACCTCTATCATGCACCATCAAAAGAAAAAGATGGAGATGGATAGACCACATCCTCCGAAGGGAAGAGAACTCTCACATTAGAACAGCTCTCACCTGGGCCCCTGAGGGAAAGAGAAGAAGAGGACGGCCAAAGAACACCTGGAGACGCTCTGTTGAGAGAGAAAGGGAAGAACTGGGTTGGAACAGCTGGAAGGAGGGAGAAGTTGTTGCCAGTGACCGCCGTAAGTGGCGTTCGTTGTTGAACGGCCTCATGCGTCCTCCGGGGCACGGAGAGGATAAGTAAGTAAGTAAGCAGCTGAATGTAAACAAACAGGTCTGGTTCCCTCTCCTACTTTTCCTCGTATGTGTAGAGAGCTACGATAACACTGATTATCAAAAATCCTTACGCTAATGAACTATGTTCTTTGACTTCGGACTGAAGTTTTGAAAGTCATTACTACTAATGTTTATTTATATAGATAAAACTTCATTTTATTTTTGTTGCTTTATTTAGCGTTTGTATTATCTCAAAAGCGGTTGAGAGTATAGAACTGTATTTTGGCACGTAACTTTAAAATGGCGACTATGGGGTCGACATCCTGCCTTGAACAGGATCGCATAAGCTGGCAATTGCTCTCTGAGCAATAAGCCCTGCTAAAAATAAAAGACTTGGGAAAACTGCTTCCAACATGACTGATCTTTACACATCAAGTACTCACTTTACTTTAATATTGGGAGAGACTACTTCTATTTCCTCTGAACCTAAAAAAAGGAAAGGAGGATTATCTGGAAAATTCATTGAAAAATTAATGTTTAAAAAAAATGAACATCTATTTGACAATTTTATAATAATAATTGTGGCACTGATGTTAAAATTCTTATACATGAATGGTATTTAGATTTTATTGAAAAATTTTTTTTGGTACAAGTTTTTGACATTCTAGTTTGTTGTTACCAAATTTGGGTCTTCTCAATAAGTGAAATTTTGTCATCTCAATAAGAGAAATTTTACTTGCAAATCTGATAAAACCTAATTAAAAGTAAACAAGTAAAGAGGTCTGACAAAGAACAAGAGGCCCATGGGCCACATCGCTCACCTGAGAAGCTTTGACCATTTTGTTCTTTACCAGATTTCCTCCTTGTAATACATAATGCATCCCCACCCTACCCCACTGATCATAATTAAGACATTTTAAAATCTACACTACCCCAGGATCCTTCTACATAAGTTTCAGCTTTTCTGGCCCAGTGGTTCTTGAGAAGAAGATTTTCAAAGATTTTTCCTATATATTTCTATGTAAAACTTTGATTCTCCATTGTTGCCCCGCCCTTCCCCCGGGGGTCATGATTTGAACAATTTAGAATCTACACTACCTGAGGATGATTCCACATAAGTTTCAGCTTTTCTGGCCCAGTGGTTCTTGAGAAGAAGATTTTCAAAGATTTTTCCTATATATTTCTATATAAAACTTTGATTCCCCATTGTGGCCCCACCCTTCCCCCGGGGGTCATGATTTGAACAATTTAGAATCTACACTATACCAGGATGCTTCCATATAAGTTTCAGCTTTTCTGGCCCAGTTGTTCTTGAGAAGAAGATTTTCAAAGATTTTTCCTATATATTTCTATGTAAAACTTTGATTCCCCATTGTGGCCCCACCCTTCCCCCGGGGGTCATGATTTGAACAATTTAGAATCTACATTATACCAGGATGCTTCAACATAAGTTTCAGCTTTTCTGGCCCAGTGGTTCTTGAGAAGAAGATTTTCAAAGATTTTCCCTATATATTTCTATGTAAAACTTTGATTCCCCATTGTGGCCCCACCCTTCCCCCGGGGGTCATGATTTGAACAATTTAGAATCAACACTACACCAGGATGCTTCCACATAAGTTTCAGCTTTTCTGGCCCAGTTGTTCTTGAGAAGAATATTTTCAAAGAATTTTCCTATATAAATCTATGTAAAACTTTGATTCCCCATTGTGGCCCCACCCTTCCCCCGGGGGTCATGATTTGAACAATTTAGAATCTACACTACCCCAGGATGCTTCAACATAAGTTTCAGCTTTTCTGGCCCAGTGGTTCTTGAGAAGAAGATTTTCAAAGATTTTCCCTATATATTTCTATGTAAAACTTTGATTCCCCATTGTGGCCCCACCCTTCCCCCGGGGGTCATGATTTGAACAATTTAGAATCTACACTATACCAGGATGCTTCCATATAAGTTTCAGCTTTTCTGGCCCAGTGGTTCTTGAGAAGAAGATTTTCAAAGATTTTCCTATATATTTCTATGTAAAACTTTGATTCCCCATTGTGGCCCCACCCTTCCCCCGGGGGTCATGATTTGAATAATTTAGAATCTACACTACCCCAGGATGCTTCAACATAAGTTTCAGCTTTTCTGGCCCAGTGGTTCTTGAGAAGAAGATTTTCAAAGATTTTCCCTATATATTTCTATGTAAAACTTTGATTCCCCATTGTGGCCCCACCCTTCCCCTGGGGGTCATGATTTGAACAATTTAGAATTTACACTACCCCAGGATGCTTCAACATAAGTTTCAGCTTTTCTGGCCCAGTGGTTCTTGAGAAGAAGATTTTCAAAGATTTTTCCTATATATTTCTATGTAAAACTTTGATTCCCCAATGTGGCCCCACCCTTCCCCCGGGGGTCATGATTTGAACAATTTAGAATGTACACTACCTGAGGATGATTCCACATAAGTTTCAGCTTTTCTGGCCCAATGGTTCTTGAGAAGAAGATTTTTAAAGATTTTCCTATATATTTCTATGTAAAACTTTGATTCCCCATTGTGGCCCCGCCCTTCCCCTGGGGGTCATTATTTGAACAATTTAGAATCTACAGTACCCCAGGATGCTTCCACATAAGTTTCAGCTTTTCTAGCCTAGTGGTTCTTGAGAAGAAGATTTTCAAAGATTTTTCCTATATATTTCTATGTAGAACTTTGATTCCCCATTGTGGCCCCGCCCTTCCACCGGGGGTCATGATTTGAACAATTTAGAATCTAAACTACCCCAGGATGCTTCCACATAAGTTTCAGCTTTTCTGGCCAAGTGGTTCTTGAGAAGAAGATTTTCAAAGATTTTTCCTATATATTTCTATGTAAAACTTTGATTCCCCATTGTGGCCCCGCCCTTCCCCTGGGGGTCATGATTTGAACAATTTAGAATCTACACTTTACCAGGATGCTTCCACATAAGTTTCAGCTTTTCTGGTCCAGTGGTTCTTGAGAAGAAGATTTTTTAATGACCCCACCCTATTTTTGTCTTTTCTTGATTATCTCCCCTTGTAAGGGGATTTGGCCCTTTATTTTAACAATTTAAATTCCCCTTCACCCAAGGATGCTTTGTACCAAGTTTAATCAAAATTGGCCCAGTGGTTCTTGAGAAGAAGTCGAAAATGTGAAAAGTTTACAGACGGACAGACAGACAGACGGACAGACAGACAGACAGACAGACGGACAGACAGACGGACGGACGACGGACAAAATGTGATCAGAAAAGCTCACTTGAGCCTTCGGCTCAGGTGAGCTAAAAAGTAAAATTTTGGTATACCCCATTTATAATCCAGCAGGATCATGTGGAAAATTTTTCTTTCAAATGAGACCTTCAGCAAATAACTGCAGGGATTAAGATCAAGATAAGCACTAAACGTCTGTGTGAAGGTTTCTCCCAGAATATCCAAACTTATGTCTGTCCAAGTATCTATTCTCATACAGTCTTTTTGTATTGTATAATACAGCACTTTAGAAAGTTTTCCCTGAATCTTTGGCAAGCTATGATCATGACCATTGCAAGAACAACCTGCAAAAATAAATTTTCACATCAGCTTGCTTGATGTATTCATGTATGTAAACTTACTCCTACAGTATATTTGATGCTTAATTACAACCATTCTAGAAAAAAAATCTACACGGTATCTAAAATTTCAGCTACTTAAATAATTATAATCCGTTTGACATGAAAACAATGTTTAAATATTTTTCATCTGAAGACCTGTACTTACTAAGATGATCTTCCCGTAATCTTTCATTAAGCATGTCCCTTGAACCTTTAGTTGACAAATTCCTACACTCCAATTCATCTATTATTTGACCTTTTGTCATTATTTCTGGTCTTGGCGCAGGTTTTCCATTAAGAAATGTATCCTTTAAGGACAAATGCATATTTAAATAACAATCTTTCAATTCATATGTTATTTAATATAAATATGAATACATGTATTGTTTACATGACAACATAAAAAAATACTTTTTTCTTCACTTCACTGTGTATGTCTCTATTTCTGTTTAAATTCTCATGCTTTTAAGAGTGAACAATATCTAAGAAAGATAAGTCGGTATATATGGTACAAAGAATAGAACAGTGTATCTTGAATTCACAAAAGATGCAACAATTCATTAATTAGGCCCCACCCTACCCAATGGAACAATTATTTGAACCAACTCAAATCTACACCATCTTAGGTTGACTGTATATTTATTTCAATAATCAGTCCTTTTACTCTTGAAAAGAACATTTTTGAAGATTTTTTCCCTACATATTTTTATGTATATGTCTTCACCTACTCCAGAGGATAATGCTTTGAACAAATTTGTATCTACTCAACCTGAGGATGCTTGCAATTTTAAGAGGGAAGGGGGACTGTAAGGCAGCCAAAAATATATTTTAATTAAAATTTTAGTCATAAAAACTATAAAGGCGACCATATGCTAAAAAGGTGAGAGTTTATCAAGAAATGATTTGAATAATTAAAGAAAAAACATATAACAGATATTCATTAAAATCCATGGGACAACACATTTCTTTCCATTATTGAACATTCAAATTCAGCCAACCTTGTTTATATGCAGAGTTTCCAAGAATTTTGTAAGAAGCTCAACTAAAGCCAACTTTTTTACAGCTTTCCCTTGATCTTTCATTCTCTGAAGCAAAGCTTTCTTGTTGAATATCTGTTTGAAATTCACTGAAATAAAACAAGATTTTTTAAATTCACATCTTTCATTGAGTTTATCAAGTTCATGTCTCATTGCTGCTGTAAGATTTGTTAAATTGATAAGAAATGGTATAGTAAAAAAAACTTACTTTTTCGCGACACTAGATCTCCATTTGAAAGACAAGAAGGTAAAGGAAAAATTGCATTTTCAAGAAGGTTTAGGTATAAAATGCAGTTGTCTAAATCATTCACACTGCAAAAACCTACTCCAAGTGTGATAAGAAGGGTTTTGTCTTCCTTTACTATAGAGTACCTGTGAAATGATTATGTAGTGTTAATTTTTTTTTTTTCAGTAAATACTTAAAGGCAATGCAAAACAATTGTAGCACACGCTTATCCATGCAATACTTGTCATTAACTTCCAAGAATCACTTTGTAATATCTGTTATTTGTGATATCCAGTTTGGTCATACTTTTCAACTTATGTTACAGTTGTAGTACTCAATGGGAAAAATCAACTACCTTTCATACAATTAAAATCAAATCAAAATGTTTATTTATTTTATTTATTCATTCAACTTATTCATACATTATAAAGAATATAAAAGATCAACATTTTTGTGAGGTTGGCCTGGATAGGACTTTTAGTTACTGGGGAATAGACTTGCTCTAAAAACTTTCTCTTTTCAACATTCTATCACCCTGAAAATTTACGTCAGATTCAGCATCTGAACCTAGTAATAGTATATCTATGAGCATGCCTTCATGCATCATCGATGCAAATTTCTGATTTCATTGAGATAAAAGTAACTTTGTAATCAATCTGCTCTAAAATTAGAAAAATGTTTGTTAAGATAGTGCACATTTTAAAAAAAATTATATGGCACACATTTTGATTGGGAAAACAGAAAAAGTTCCAGTGTCATTTACATCAATGAAATTTTGAACTTACTTTAGTGTCAATTCAATGCCTCCCAACAAATCTATAGTTAATCCAGGTCTGACTTCTTTTTCAAAACCTAAATTATAATAAAAATGACTATACTTAACCTATCTGCATCTCTTTCATATATAAAGAAAGATTTTGTTTTCCCTGTACCTATTAACAAACATATGTATGAAGCATTTTGCAAGAAAAGAACCTTACCTTCATATATTTGAGTTTCATTGATTTCAACAGTATAATTATATTGGTCAAATCCAAATACAAATTTCAAGGGATTTGAACAGGGATCCAGTCTGGCATAAAATTTGAAAACTTTGAGGAACATCATCAGTTTGACATTGACACAGCATTCCATCCCAAGACAGTAATGGTCAAAGGTACAATAGACATTCTTTGGCATTGTGAAAGATACAAGTGGGCAATCTGCAATATATAAAATAAAATGGTCAATTTGAGTCACAATGTAAGTTTTCTCTAAGACTTACTCTTTCTCTTTTGCTAACATCTTAGTCAAAACAGTTGAGCAGATTTGAATCTCAACTACTTAAGATTCCTTAAATTTTGTATATTCAATCAACAACTAAATTGTTTATGCAAACATATTTCAGTCTTGTTCTGAGGCCTATTTGGCCTTATACTATGGAATCAACACTGGTAATGTATATCCTTTGATACATCATCCAGACTAGCAAGATTATTTCAGGAAGGACTTATAGTTTCTTAGTCATGGACCTGCTCCAAAAACTTCAATATGGTTACTTATCTGGAAAACATGGTCCTATTCCACATCCAAATAAATACGGTACTTGTAGTATGCATATAATAAATGAATCTTCACTAAAAGCTGATGAGCATATAGCTTATAGTCACTTTAGAATGAACCTGCTCAAAAACTTAACCTGGTCACTGATCCAGAAATTAGGGACCAAATCCAGCATCTGAAGCAAGTTTATTAGTATGCATTCTTATGTAAGTTTGGTCAACATAGGATTTAATTAAAGTCAGTTTAAAATGAACCTGCTCAAAAACTAGAAAATGTATGTCAGATCCAGCATCCAAAGCAAGCCTGGTACATGTAGTGTGCATCCTTAGATGTATCATCCATGCAAGTTTGGTCAACATAGCACTAATAGTTACTTTAGAATGAATCTGCTCAGAAAACTTCCACCTTGTCGTAATCCAGAAATTGTACGTTAGATCTAGCATTCAAAGCAATTCTATTAGTGTGCATCCTTAGACAGTTATATTTAGTTGTACATGTATTACCGGGTAGATATTTAAGGAGCAAACAGATTTAAGAGATCAAGAACTTTGACAGAAGTTTGAGCCATCAAAAGTCACCTGTAAATTATCTTACTATAAATAGTTATCAAGATTAACTTTTTCCTTACTTTGGTCAAGTCTTAAAAGTGTATCAATCATTTCCTCTCTGGTGCCAGTTGCTCTTTTTCCACGTTCTATAAGCTCATTCATTAACTCATCATCAGTCATTTGCTGTGGACTGACGCAAGGTTTATTGTCTATCAGCTCCTACAACATCCCGAAATCATCTCTTATTTCACATGAAAGAAATCTGTTCCATTTTAATTTTTTCTAACTTTATTTTTTGACAAAGAGGAAGTTGTGGAATACTGTGTCTATTCTAACACAAAAGTTGTTATTCAGTGCTTATTGGTGTACATGTATACGAGTTCAATGTTTTATAAAATGAAAATATGTATTTGTGCATTTTTATGCTCCCGTAGACAAAGTTTTGGGGGTATATAGTTTTTGCCCTGTCCATCTGTCTGTCTGTCTGTTTGACTGGGTGGAACTATGGCTTTCATATTTCACAGGTGAATTCCTTCTGTCAAGACTTTTCTTTGGGTACCACCAACTTTGACCTCTTGACCTTTAACTTTACTTTTACTTTTACTTTGGCCATAACTTTTGAACTGTTGGTGCTAGGACTTTCAAACTTCTCATATGCAATCTTTGTGATAAAACCATCCATTGGCTACCAACAACTTTGACCCTTTGACCTTGACCTTTGAGACTGACCTACTTTTTAAAACCTTTAACTTTGGCCATAACTTTAAACAGAACGGGCTACGGCTTTCATGCTTCACATATATAATCCTTGTGACAAGACCTTTCATTGGATACAAATAACCTTGACCCTTTGACCCTGACTTTGGAGTGTGTCCTACATTTAAACAACTTTAACCTTGGCAATAACTTTTGAACGGTAAGAGCTAGGACTTTCAAATTTCACATTTTTGTGATAAGACCTTCCATTAGATACCAACAACTTTGACCTTTTGACCCTGACCTGTGAGACTGACCTACTTTTAAAAACCTCTTACCCTTGCAATAATTTAGAATGGTTTTAGGGCTAGGGCTTTCATACTTCCCATATGTAATCTTTGTGACAAGGCCTTTATTTAGAAAACAAGAACTGTGACCCTTTGACCTTGACCCTGGACTTTGACCTACCTTTAGAAACATCCTAGGCCATAACTTTTGACCAGGTGGTGCTAGGGTTTATATTTCACATTCTTATTTCTTATGAGAAGGCCTTACTTTCGGTATCATAACCTTTGACCTGCATTTGAGAAAATTTAACCTTTGCTATGTTGCCAGATGGGGGCATCAGTGTTTCACAAACACATCTTGTTCATATATGTAAAATACTAGATTTAAGGAAACTATCATTCAGATGATAATTTTCAATGATTAAGAATATTCTTTGATTTTTCTATACATACTTTTATAGTTATCATAACTTTGGCCATTGCTTCTTTACTTTCGTTCATTCCAAGTTTATCTAAAAATTCTATGATAGTGCCGAACTTCAAACGACGAATGTTGTATTTTTCAAGGAATTTGTCAGCTGCTTTTAACAACTTTTTGAAAAAACCTAAAAAATACCAAAATAGAACTGTTCACTTCAAACATGATGCTTTGAAAAATTATAGACATGAAAATGTGTATGTACAAACAGTTTATACACAATCAATTGTTTTAAAAATGACTGACTGAATATCTTTAGGATATTTATTGTTTTAATGATATTTTAGGTACATATTTTTCTCTGTGTTACCTATGAATCCTCTTGGAGGTGCAGCTGTTGTTAATGGTGATGCTGTTGTAGTAGTTGTTGTTGTTGTTGTTTGAGGCCTGTATGCTGCACACTCATCTTCTGAATCAATATCCATAACACTGTCTTTCTTATCTTCATCTTCATCCTGTTCATTTGCCATTTTGAATTTAAATTTACTGAAGGCACTCTCAGGATTATCTACAAATCAAATTACAAGATTGAAATTTCTTCAAAATAAAATTAAGTAACATTATCACAGTTTTAACTATCTGGTAAGAATTGAGACTACATTTGCTTGGCATATTTTTTTTCCATCAATTACTAACTAAATAAGAAGCTCACCTTCATATAAATATAATCTATGAGGCAAAATCAATGCCCAGGTAGTATGCATCCCTACATACAAAATCCATGCAACTCCAATCATTTGCTGTTCTTGAGAAGATTTTTCAAAGATTTTCCCCATGCATTCCTTCACTAAATTTATGAGGGCCCCATCCTACCCCTGGGGATTATGGTTTGAAAAAAATTGAATATACATTATTTGAGGATGATTTCACATAAATATGATTTTAAAGAAAGTGTTGCTGTTCTTGAGAAGAAGATTTTTTTTAAGGGTTATTTCACTACTGAGATAAACAAGGAAAACAACCTCTTCTTTTTGATGAGCTTCTGTACTTTTAACCAATGAAATTAGGGTTTACGAACAGTCTTTCAGTTTGTAAATTGGATACAAGGAAGGCTTTTTAATCTTAGGATTAAATAGGATTAAATTCTATTTAAAATAGATATAGGATTAATTTTAAAAAAACAACAACATACATGTATGCCATGATACGTACTGACACACAAAGTTGCCGACTGCAGCATGATAAATAAAGACTAATGGCCCCAGCCTATTCTGTCTTTTCTTGATATCTCCCCTTGTAATGGAACTTCAGTCTAACAATTTTAATACCACCACCCCCTCCCTTTCACAAAAGGATGCTTTTAACCAACTCTGGTTAAAATTGGCCCAGTGGTTCTGAGAAGAAGTTGAAACTTTGAAAAGTTTAAAGAAGGATGGACATGTGAAAAGCTTACAAAATGATGGAAAGATGGATGGACAACAGGTAATCAGAAGAGCTCACCTGAGCTTTCACCTCAGGTTAGCTAAAAATTAGAGCTTTTTTTTTTTTTTTTTTTTTTTAACACATATTTCCCCTTAGTCTATACATACTCACCTTTGATTTCCTTGGTATACTCTGGTTCTGATGACTTTGGTAGATCATCAATAGGTTTTGCTTGGCTAGCATTTGCAATTTGGGTGTTATTATTTTCCTCCTTTTGGCCACCTAGTCCTACGATCACACCAGCAGCTAACGTAACTCCCTAAATCAAACAAAATATCATAAATTACCTGTGGGTACTTTCATAACATTTTATATTTACTTGATTATATCACTGCATAAAAAATACATGAACCTTGAAGACAAGTTTGTAGTCATCACATTCCTGTTTCCATTTGGGCATTGTAACAGGTCTGAATTCAAGGTATTTAGTAGGATCTATGTAGTCACCATCATCTTTCTTGATAGCCATATGTATGTGGTTTTTACAAACTGATGCAGTTGCTGTACCTATTGGCTCACCAGCATCAACCTAAAACATTAAAGAGTTTCTGAAAAGGTATTTGATCTAATTTGCATTATCAATACATAGAAATCTTTATAATTTGATTGTCCTTCATATCTTAAAGAGTTCTTTTATTAATTTTTTTTACTATTTATTTAGGAAATATTTCAAGGGGACATGTATTTCTTTATCGAGTTTTTGATTCTTTATCAAGGATAGATATTTACCAGAATTCCTTGCCTAGAGGGCAAATGAACTCTAATTTTGACTTGTCTACATGCAAAAGTTGATTTACCAAAAAGAGACTTATTTTGTTTGACAGTGCAGTATAACGGATACAGAGGAGTATGTCAATATATACATAATTTGTAAATACTGATATGAATGCTAAAACATTGAAATATATTCATATCAAAAATAAAAAAGCACTTAAAAAAAACACAACTACATTTAATATTTAATGATGTTTAGCATATTATAATAGTCAACTGTGTCATGTAACGTGTCCTGCATTCTCTTAAAACTTACCCATTTTGACTCTTCATCCACTATCTCGGAGCTTGGGTCAATATTAGTAATCATTACTGCAGTTCCATTTAGTGATCCTCTGCTTATTTTTATTATCACAGTACTTGAATCCTCTGGATCTATAGTTATTTCTCCAGCAAATGGGGCCACTATCTGCCAATTGAAATATTCAAGTATATGTATTACCAACTGGTTATATTTGATTAATTTAAACAATATTTTATTATTTGTAAACATAACATGATTTCAGTGCAGAGTTCACAATAAGTTGGACTGGTGAAACCAAATTTTGATTTTTAGTATTAAGAGGTCCATGGGCAACAATGCTCATCTGAGTCACTAAATAGTCCCTGCTGTTCTTCATATTAATAATTACTAACCATACCTCTTTTCATTAGAAGAAGATTTCTATTTTTTTTTTTGTATCATATTTCTGTATTAAACTTGGATCATCCATTGTGACCTAATCCCAGGGCTCAAAATAAATGAGGGCCAGTGAATTTCTATACATGTACTACTGAGAAATACTTTCGCATACATTGTAAATATATGTCTTTGTTGTTCTTGAGAGGAAGATTTTTTAGATGTTTTTCTAATATTCCTAAGTAAAAGTTTGATCACACTTTATGGGTCCCACCCTGACCTGAACAAAATGTGATCAGAAATGCTAACTTGAGCCTAATTTAGCCCAGGTTAGCTAATGTTCACATTGAATATTAATGAATTCCTTGACCATATAAGCCAAAATGATAGGTTGACTTGAAAAACCAAACAATCAGAATGTTTTTAACTTGGCATATCTTAGAACTGATAAAATCTTGAATTACAAGTATAAAGACATAGTAAGTTCCAATGATTAGCATGTGATAGCTAGAGTAATACCAAAATTGCACCTGGAAAGTGGAAAAAAAAAACAAAGTTTTACTTACTTCTGCTCCCATTTCAATAAGTAGATCAATTCCATCATGTCTGTATTCTGTATGACCACTTCCCAGACTAGACGGATACTGTCCATTTCCACTGCATCCATCACCTACTTCTCTTCGATCTACTGGAAATAGTTTGTGGGCTCGTGTGCCAAACAGAGCATCAATTATTCCTCTTGCAGTTTCATATCTACAAAACCCCCAAAAATTTATTTTAACCAAGTTAATCTTTGAAAGCCAAATGAAAGACCCCATCAACTCCTCTTTTTAGGCCTTAACAATTTACATTACTTTTTTGTTGTTTAATACAGTGAAACATGTCTAATCCAGATCTTATGTAATCTTAAGTCTTGCCTAATATAATCTAAACTTGAAGTCCCTTTCAATGAAAACAATTATTTAAAACGTTGTCTGAACAGAAATGTTGTCCAATTTATTAGGAACCAGTAATGTTCGGATTAGACAAGTTTTCACTGTATTTCTAAAGAATAGACACTTTTCAATTGTATTTACTTTGCTTCTTTTAATTAGTTAAGCCTACTAGCAGATAAGCATTATAGTCATTCATGATCATCAGTGATCACTTACAAGTTGTCCTTGTCATTTACTATAAAAGCAGTTATTTGTCCTAGTCATTTACATTAAAATCATTTACTTACATGGGGGTTTAATTTTACATTTTATTTTACATTGTTTTGAAGTATAACTATATAGACCCATAAATTCATCACAAAATTTAAAATTTCATACACATAACTAATAAATTCGAACCCTTAAATGTGATGTTTTAACATTGCCACAATTTTCTAAATTCGAATCATCTTAAAATGGCCATTGTTTGCAGTTGAAGCGCTAGATATACTGTATTAGTGGAAATTTTGGCAAGAAACAAAATTAGCAATTTCTCCTTAAAAATTGGTATTTTATTTCTAGTGAGAAGTAATTCCAGTGATTTTAAAATGCTCATTTAAGAAGCTATTACAAATAAAATGCAAAAATTTTTTAGGAATGTTCAATTTCAGTGATCTAAACACCCTCACCAATAATGCCAACATTAAATCCTTGCTAGCCTCAATCTTAATTTCCAGCGCATAACAATCATAACCAAAAGCACTGATTAATATGTGCTTTAATTCAAACAACATTATGTGTTACTCCATTTCAATAATTTTATTTGTATTTATATTATAAACCTACACAGGAAAATGTAATTCATCCATGATTAATTTAATTCACAGCACAAGAAAAACCACAAGCCTTTTTGTTTTTTGATAATAGCCAAGGATCAAATCTAATGGAGGAGGTTTGAAAGATTTTTTTTTTTCATAATTCAAAGTGTTTAGCATAATTTGAACACTATTAATATTTCCTAATGTATACTTTATAAGATGATGGCAGACTAAAACTGTAAAATGAGGCGTGAAAATAAATACAGAGTTATCAATCTTGCCAAAAAATGTGATGACACAAACAGAAGAAAACTTTAATTTAATACATACAAATTTTGCAAATTCAACAAAGTGCAGAAGTGTTTGAATGGAGAAAAAAGTTTATGAGCCAACGCTTACTAGTAATACCCCCTCAATGATGTGAAAATATGCTCTCATATTTATATAAACACAAGTCATGCGACAAAAATTCAGTATGAAAAGAGGTGCATATAGATAAACAAGAAGTGGACATTGGATTAATGCTAAAATGAATCCCTCCATATTGCAAGTCTTAACAAAGAGTGTTCTACACTATCAAGTATCTTTGAGGGATTGTTGATGAGAAAACTGCGACAGAAAAATGTTATGAACAGACAGCTACACAAACAGACAAGACAGAAACATAGCTACACAAACAGACACGACAGAAACATGCACGTTTAAAAACAGTATACTTCTCCTTCAGAGTGGAGGAATAAAAACAATTAAGAAAACTAATCTTCTATACACATTATAAATTACAGTAAAACATACTGATTACAAAGTGGTGGGAATATTTTAGATAAATTGCTACGTTAGAAATGTAATTCACAATACATGTATATTTTAAACCCACAAAGAAAGAAAACTTTGATATTAGTGTAAATTTATGATGAGCTCGTTTGCCATAAGCATGATTGTTTTACTGTATTTTTAAACATCCCTTACTTTGAAATAGAACTAAATTCCCAGCCTCTGTTTCTTATTTATCTCAGCAATAATAAACTGTAAATCAACTTTTATTCATGACGACTTTATTTCGCGATTTACCAGGGATCAACTAGTTTGCGACGATTTATTTTCACGATCAAGGCTTTTTGGATATGTTGTTAATGGACACATAGACTTCAAGGACTGCTTTGCAACAAGAAATATTCGCGATGAGGCTCTCACATACTTCGCGAAAATTTCTCACATATGAATAAGTTGGTTTACAGTAGTTGTATAAAGTAATCTATAGAAGGCAGAAGGGGGAGATTAAAAACTAGTTCAAACTTACCCTTCTTTGAGAATATTGTAAGCATCTTTAATCGACTTGATGAGTTTGAATACTTTGCCATATGTATTTACAAAAGCATCTGCCAAGCCTACTAAATCCTTAAATGGGTCAATCAATTCTTTCTTTATGGTAATGAAATTGTCCACAATTTCCTTTCTAATTTTTTTCTACAAAATATAAAGTCTGACATACATAAGCACAATTGCTTAGACAAGGAAAAATTCAGTTAAATGGGACTTTTTATTATGAAACTTACATAAGAACTTTTGCCTTTAGAGAATTTCATAATTTCATCTTCCCCTTCATTGATGCTTTCATTTACCCACTTCTGTCCACTAGCATTCAAACCTTTGAAGGCACTGTTGGCCATAGCTGAATATTCAATCCACAAATCATGTACATTGAACCAGTAAGGTTTTTCATCTTCAAAGAAAATAGCAAAATTAAAAGGGGCACTTTAGAATGTACACTGCAGAATGATTATTATAACAAGAGGCCCATGGGCCACATCACTCACCTGAGCACTAAGGGTAGGAAAAAGTAGAAAATGGCTTTTTATTGTAAAGTTTAAATCCAAAAGTACTCCCATGACCAATTATGGATTTGCTATTTTTTAGAAAATGATTTTTAAAGAATTTTTCTATATATATCTTTAAAAACTTTGGTCGGCCATTTTGGCTCCGCCCTACCCCTGGGGGTCATGATTTGAACAAATTTGAATCTACACTACTTGAGCATGCTTCCATATAAATATGATGAATTCTGGCGTTGTCAGTCTTGAGAAGAAGATGTTTAAAGAATTTTCCTATATATTTCTATGTAAAACTTTGGTCGGCCATTTTGGCCCCGCCCTACCCCCGGGGGTCATGATTTGAACAAACTTGAAACTACACTACCTAAGAATGCTTCCATATATATATGATCAATTATGGCTTTGTCATTCTTGAGAAGAAGATCTTTAAAGAATTTTCCTATATATTTCTATGTAAACCTTTGGTTGGCCATTTTGGCCCCGCCCTACCCCAAGGGGTCATGATTTGAACAAACTTGAATCTACATTACCTGAGCATGCTTCCATATATATATATGATCAATTACGACTTTGTCATTCTTGAGAAGAAGATTTTTAAAGAATTTTCCTATATATTTCTATGTAAAACTTTGGTCGGCCATTTTGGCCCCGCCCTACCCCCGGGGGTCATGATTTGAACAATTTGAATCTACAGTACCCGCATCGTTATTCTTTACAGGATACACGATACGATAGGATACACGCACGATACGATAGGATACACGCACGATACGATAGGATACACGCACGATAGGACAGGATACACGCACGATAGGATAAACGCAAAACACGATAAACGCAAAACACGATACACGCAAAACACGATAAACGCAAAACACGATAGACCTGATAAACGATCTACACGATAGGATAAACGCAAAACCTGATAGGATTGTTTCAAAATGCGGAACGTTTTTTGACAAGACGAAAAGATTATTTTGAATTAAATCTAAAGATTAAAGATTATTTAAATTAAATTATATTTTAATTTAAATACTCACAGAGCTTCAAATCTAAACTATAAAGTACATTTAAATATTATAAAAAGAACCTGAGATCTCTGTATTAATTTTACAAAAGTTGTTTATCTATATATATAAAAAAATTGACAGTGATTAAATGGACATTTATGAAATGGAGACTGTATTTTTTTTTTATTTCTTCTCAAGTGTGTGAATTTTGAAACTCTATAAACAGATTTATTATTCATGAAAAATATTCATTTTAATTTTCTATCTAATAAATTTATCTACAAGTAGCAAGTTATTTCACGGAAGACATTCACGCAATAAATTAAAAATTTGTATTTAATGTCTAAAGCTTACAATCTGTGATGTATCCAAAAATCGCAATTAAATATTAATTTCTTAGAAAATAAAACAAGTAGAAGACTGGCCGAAAGAAAGGTTTAAAGAAAACGGCTTTAACAAAATTAATGAATTTAACATGATAGATCTATCAAGAACGAAACAGTTCAAGAAAATTAAATTTTCTGAATAGAAATTTAAATAATTATTAAAATAATGGCGCAATCTCGTATTTATTAACGAACATTGAATGGTTAAATACTTTCTTCTTAACATTACAAAACAGAAAAAATAATTAACAAGTGTTAAAAGAGTAATTCCGACTAAATAATTATAAATCATTGCTATTAAACTCTGTGTGTACTGTTTCTAATAATAACGAAAAATAGGTTTAATTCGGCAAATGAATTATTAAACCTTAAAAATCATTTAACACTGACCCGGTAATCTCATATTAGGCATATTCGAAGGGCGGTATTTTGAAAGTCCGCACCAATTTAAAATTACTAGATAAACAAGATCTTACCAAATAGCCAAATATAATATTGAATTCTTAAATAAAGTTATATACGTATGAAATTAAATCAAATAATACAAAAAATTGATTCGGTGTATTTATTAGTCTTGCATGGTCACGGCGGATCAGACGACTCCTTTTGTTTTATTTTTATAGTAAGATACCGTTAAAAAAATATTGCGATCAATGAAATTGTTTCCTAGTATTAATTTTGTTCGTTTTACGTAGAAAACCCGATGACCCGAAAGTGCGCGTAGCATAAGTGTAGTATATTTTTTCATCTTTATTAAAAGACTTATTTTCATAAACATAATGGAAACATTGTACGAAATGAAAAAGAATCAACGGAGTAAGTTTAGAGACTCCATTTCAGTAAATTGATTTATTTTAATTTTTATTTAACATTCAAGATGATTTTTTAATCCATAAATCTTAGAATTATGAAATGTATTTTGAATTAAATCTTTGATAAAATTGTTCAAACAAGTTAGGAACAAAATTCCGAAAATAAGAAGTTGTGTTTAAGTAGAACCAGGTAGTATTCGAGGTTACTAATTGACCCTAGGTGAGAAATCAGTACAGGTATGTGGACGGTGATCACACACACACGGGCCGAGGTGTCAGTTAGTGGAGAAGGGGGAGGGGGCGGTTAACCGCACAGGAAGACAGTGTGCTAATTAGAGAGCTACACATACGTGTCAGTTTTCTTGTAAGAAAAGGTCTTCGATTTTTTTTTATTTTTGGCATTCCGATGGATTATATTTTGAGTTTTTTTCCACGCCGAAAAGGTAAGCTGTTAAAAAACTTCATGTTTTCCCCTGTACATGTATATATTATTTTTATGTAATCTAATGCCAGATAAAATTAATGAAAATCTTTTATTTTAAAGTAACAGCCATGGTGTGATAAATTGGGTAGAATATTTTCATTGATTATATTTTATAATTTTGATTTCTTTTATTAATTTAGACATATGTCAAGGAATTTTTAATCAGCTTTAAAAAATAAATTTAAAATTTGAACGTATACGGCAAAAATCGTTGTTAAAATCATCTGGATCATTGTCTTATGTTATATTATATTTTTAACATCAAGACTTTAAATAATTGTGCATACATGCAGGTCAGACGCGTAAACATATTTCTAACCTTATCAGAGGAGAAAGAAGAAAAAACAGTATATTGCATGAAAAAAAGACACTTTTCAATATCCTGCTAATTATTTATTCATTTTCTTTTTGTTTACGCGAACATCGTAGCTTACCAGAAATCTTTCCCCGGTAACTCCGATTCATTTGAGAAAATCTTCTTAATAGTATTTAATTTTGACAAAATAAATCATGCGATTCGATAAATTATTTTTTCACTGAAATAAAATAATTAGTGAAAGTCACTGGGAAGACTAGTAAATTTACTGTCCATACAATCACTACCTTAAAAGTAGTTTAACTAGGTATTGGGTAGATTTATACTAGATAACATTAGTAAATCTAAGCATTCATAAGTAACTTTCACTAGGTATTTAAGTATTTTTACGACTACTACTCCATTTTTCACTATCTTAGCTACTAAACAGAGTTATAACTAATCACTGTCCATACAATCACTACCTTAAAAGTAGTTTAACTAGGTAATTCTCTCAGTGAATTATAGAAATAGACCAGTTGATCGATCTACTTATAATTTCATTTCCAAAAAATAGAGTTACTGTTTAAATTTTGACAATTACTCTCCGTTTTACCATGATATAATTATTTTATTTATAATATTTAATTAATCAATTTATTCATTTATGAAATACGCGATTAATATTTTTTCCTTCTACGCTTTAATATCTCTTATATTGATGAAAAAGAAAGGGATAAATCTTTATTTTCTCTTTTTCGGTTGAAATAATCTTATTTCTATTAACAAAACGAAAAAGAAACTCGGAATAGCTCAGTAGTTTCTTTACATATTAAAGATAAAAAGCGAGGGTTTCTGAATATACACGATAAACGCAAAACACGATACACGATAGAACCTGATAAACGATCTACACGATAAACGCAAAACACGATAAACGGAAAACACGATAGAAAACGCAAAACCTGATAAACGGAAAACACGATACGATAGGATACGATAGGATACACGCACGATACGATAGGATACACGCACGATACGATAGGATACACGCACGATAGAACACGATAGAATTGTAAAGAATAACGATGCGGGTACTGTACACTACCTGAGCATGCTTCCATATAAATATGATGAATTATGGCTTTGTCATTCTTGAGAAGATTTTAAAGAATTTTCCTACATATTTCTATGTAAAACTGGTCGGCCATTTTGGCCCCGCCCTACCCCCGGGGGTCATGATTTGAACAAACTTGAATCTACACTACCTGAGCATGCTCCCATATAAATATGATGAATTATGGCTTTGTCATTCTTGAGAAGAAGATGTTTAAAGAATTTTCCTATATATTTCTATGTAAAACTTTGGTCGGCCATTTTGGCCCCCCTACCCCCGGGGGTCATGATTTGAACAAACTTGAATCTACACTACCTGAGGATGTTTCCCCATAAGCTTCATCTTTCCTGGCACAGTGGTTCTTGAGAAGAAGATTTGTAAGATATGCCATCAAATTTTCATTAATTCCCAATTATCTCCCCTTGAATGAGGGCGTTGCCCTTCATTTGAACAAACTTGAATCCCCTTCAACCAAGGATACTTTGTGGCAAGTTTGGTTGAAATTGGCCCAGCGGTTCTTGAGAAGAAGTCGAAAATGTGAAAAGTTTACAGACAGACAGACGAACAGACGGACAGCTAGACAGACAGATGGACACACGGACGCCGGACAAAATGTGATCAGAAAAGCTCACTTGAGCCTTCAGCTCAGGTGAGCTAATAAATGTGTATGCTTTTTAAATCTACTGTATATATTAGCTATATAATTCACATAATTATTAGAAAAATACCTTTCAAGAAAAAACAAGCATCTTGAATCTTGTCCTTTTCCTTTATGATAATTCTTATAGCTCTGAAAATTCTGAGATAAAAAAATTAAATTAAAATTTTTTACAACATTTATTTCAAAAATATATGGTAACAGTGGATTTACAAGATGAACCACCTCAAAAATTAAACTTTTTGACCCATTATTTAACCATTAGGTATTAGGTATACAGTGAACTTACGAAAATACTCCTTTTCCAATACCCATAATAGCCTCTTTTGGATTTTTTAATATAATAGAAAAGCCATTAATTATATCTTTAATTCCATGATATATTGCTGTGGCTTGTTGGGGAATCACCACTTTTATAGCTTGTTCCACTTCCTATAATTAAACAATTCACTTCAACTGATTAAAAAGTACATGTACTAGTATTGTGGTAGCAAATACTCCCCCCCCCCCCCCCCCCCCCAAAAAAAATAAAATTGTGAATTCAGATCAAAAACAAAGGGATAACATTTCAAAAGAATTCAAACGTTATTCTATTTTTAGTGACCAATACAAACCCTTCATCTAATCAATACCACACAAATGGAAGCATGCGTCTTAAAATGTCTACTTTACAAAACCTTATATTGGAAAATGTATGAAGAGTTGCATTTTGAAAGAATTTCACTAAAAATAACAAAAACAACACTCTAATACAGTAAATCTTTTCTTATTCAGATACCAATGGTTCCAAAGAAATTGGCTAGATAAGACATTTTAAACAGGTGATTTTGCTATTTTGACTTAAACATCTTATTCACCAAGATTTTTGAAACACAACAGATGGATTAGACAAGTTTAACTGTTGTACATAAACCTATCTACATGTAAATATAGGTACTCACATAAACAAACCCCATCACATCTGTCTTAATATCATTGAAAAGTTTTGTAACTTTACGAATAAAATTGATGACTGGTTGAAATTCCTGGGGCAAATCCTTTGGATCAAACTGTCCAATTTTCTTCCAAGCTGTGGAAGCTATCCTTCTCAATCCCAATACCTATAACAATGAAAAATCTTCAAATGCATACATGTATACAAATTTACTATTTTAAATTGTGGTATCAAACAACTGTAGTTTTAATATTTTTCAGTGAATGAAAATGTTCATATGCATGTGTTTGAGGTGGAGGAGACTAAAGTGATCACATACTACAAATTTTACTACCTATAAAATAAGATAACTTAGCTGTTCAAGAAATTACACATGGATTGCATTTATTTTTTTGGTCATCAACTGCCCAAAAAATCTAATCCTTCCACTTGGGAGATTTTGATACTGGGTATATGAGTGTCTTGCACAGAATGTGAAGGTTTGTAGGTTTTATTAAAAACAAAATTCAATACCTTTTCAGGTAAGTGAGTAATAGCATCAATGAAGTCTGCAATAATATCCTTCAGATTCAGTTTTCCAGATATTATATCCTTGAAGAGTTGGACTCCTGCTTTCACACCCTCAACTATTTCTTTCAATTTTCTTGAAAAGTTTGCAGCCAGTTTGAATATTTTTTTCATATCATTCCCCTAGGAAAAACAAAATAAACATACATCATATATGATAAAGACAAGATACATGATTGTACCGGTACATAAAGTCATACATGCCCTGTTCACATGAATGTACAATAAATTCTCAATGCACAGTAAATTAATTGTGAATAAACTAAATGCAAACTAGAACTGTCCAAACGGGACAAAATACTCCCCGCTGGGTTTTTCAGAAGTAAGTTTTTCTATAATAAAGATATGTATCACACATGAATTATGAAATTTTTCTTCCAGTGACCTTTGAGTTCCCAAAATGACCTTGGGTCAAGGTCATGACACACTCTTGGGTCATGGGCAATCTTTGTGTGAAATGAGAACCTACCAAGTTTATCCATAAGAAAGATATGGACCTGACACAAATTATGAAATTTTTCTTCCAGTGACCTTAAACTTCCCCAAATGACCTTGGGTCAAGGTCATGACACACCCTTAGGTCATGGGCAATTTTTGTGTGAAATGAGAACCTACCAAGTTTATCCATAAGAAAGATATGGACCGGACACGAATTAAGAAATCTTTCTTCCAGTGACCTTGAAGTTCCCCAAATGACCTTGAGTCAAGGTCATGACACACCCTTAGGTCATGGGCAATTTTTGTGTGTAGTAGTAGATTCTAATGTTCCTCCGTAAGAAAGATATGGACTGAACATGTTTGCACAGACAGACGGACAGCTAGACAGACGGACAGACGGACAAGGTGATTCCTATATACCCCTCCAAACTTTGTTTGCGGGGGGAGGGGGGGTATAATTAATAGCATTCGTTTGACAGTTAATCGAAAGAAAACTATAATGTATATTAAAATTTGATAATTTTATTAATGCTATCATGATGACATTAGCAACCTATGTATGTCATTCTATTGAGAGAATACTCTTCTGACATAGTGTCAAGTACCAGCATGTAGCATGTGACTTCCTCTATTAAAGTATTATGCATATATGCAAGTATCAAAACTTAATTTGAATTAACTTTGCTAACATCTACCCAAAGGTAATGCAGAGCAATTTGTTACAGAGGTAATTGATTCAAATTAAACTAATTTGTATCAAATTCTCCATTTGAAGACAATTCAAATTCAATGTAAATTAGTTTAAGTGAATTCTTCATTCACAAAATTAAATCCCCACAAACCCATATTTTTTCCTCAAATCACAAAAATTTGACCCCATGAAAATTACTTGGAATATGTTTATGCTGTACTGGGCCCCTCCTTTGAAGCAGACTCTAGCCACAAAAAAGTCTATGTTGGTATCGACACATCCAAGGTTTATTCTTGCATATGCCTCATCGTGAACTTTAACTTGAACATGTCCATTTGATGGAGCTGAAATTTTTATTAGCGAATTATACATAGCAAAAAGCATAACCATTAAAAATGAAAATTAATAGAATCTATTGACTATAGTATGCAATATGAAACAAGAAACATATCATTAACATGGATTGTAAATGGTCACTGAGGTCACATAGTTACATTCCTGTTGCTCCTGGTTTACCTACTGCAGGCATTTGTGCAGCAGTAAGATTTAAAATTAATAATAATAATTACAAAAAATGACAATTGAAAAAATTCAAAGAGTATGAGAACTGTCCACTTTTAAATATCATTTTGCAATCAAAGCAATATGCACATCCCTGGAATATGTACAATTGATATCCAAATCCAGAAGGTTCCTAGCCTTAAAGAAGTAGGAGGTTATCTGGACAAATTTGTACCCTTTTGGCAGCAGCAGCCGATCTTTTTCACCATTTCAATAACTAGATTTTTCTTACTAAAAACTTATTAAAAAGTGTGCTATAAAGATACAATAAAGTAATCCAATGATACAGATACTGTACACAGGGAAATTTTTTGCCCCCAATTTATTTTCACCCCTTTTTACCCAAACCTCATTATGGGCATTTAAAAGGGTGAATTCAAAGTAGATGTAGCATAGCAGAATTTTGTGTATATAACTTTGAAATTGTGTTTTTATTTTTATGCATTTTTATAATTATGAAATATAGGTAGATAAATAAAAGTTTTACAAATATATAAAATTACAAAGTTATTAAAAGTGTTTGTGTTGATTTATTTTACAATTTTGTTAAATTAATTATTTTCCCGCCAAAACTCTATTGAGCGATTGGTTTAGTAATATCACATGACTAGTGACCACAGAAAGGTTTTGAATCTATTTGGGGTGTTGGTCAATCTTGTCCAGTGCTGTGGTTCCAGCAGGTTGTGTCTATATTTAGTTTACTTTAGTGGACTTCGGATTTTCAGTCATGGTATGTTTGACTTTTTGTTTGGTTTTTAACTTTGAAGTTTGAGAATTGTTTCAGGATGAGATTTCTATATTTCCAGTAGTCAAAACTTGCATGTTTAATTCTTTTAGTTTAGCACAGCACTTAGTAAAATTACCAGATAATTTGGAGAGCCTAAATTCCATAATTTTGGTAAGTTGTTTGTTAAATATTATTCGTAAATGTAAGTGTAAATAATTGTTTGATTTTATCGCTAAACTTTCATAATTAAATAGGTTCAGTGGAGATCACTTTATAAATTAAATTTATGAGTGTTAAACTATAACGATATTGAGTTAATGCGTTCAGATACGTATTAATCAGTGAGATACTATTTTATGATTAGTGTTTTGTATTATACTATGAACACTTGATTATTGTATACATTGATGAGGTTTTGTACATTGATTTTGCAGGGCCATAATTGTATTGATTACCATATGTGAAACGAATTGGAATTGAAATAATATAACCTGCAGAACTTTGAAACCTGTTGTTTTATTTCAATATACAACCAAGGTTTACATATACAGTAAAATTTCTTTAAACAAAACTGTGACTGGACAAATTCAAAATTGTTTGCAAGATTAGTGTAAAAGCGCGTAAATAACCCTGTATACAGTAGTCACTTAGTTTCATACCAACTTCCAAGTCCATAAGATTCATCATAACAACTCCAAATGAAGCTCCAATGGATCTAGATCCAATCATTTTTCGCCAGTCAACACCAGGGGCTTCCAATCTGAATTTCAAACCATCCCAGATGCTACGACGTTCTCTTCTGAAGTTGTTTGAGAGGTCCATAACATCAATTCCTGAATCATATGGGTCTTCATCCAAGTAGCCTGATTCATTGTGATTTTGATTAAATCTACAAGGTTTTATTAAATAAGGCTCACTAAAGAAATCAACACAAGTAATAAAAGCCACATGCTTAGAACAACATTATTACTAAAGCTTTAACAATACTGAAGAAATAAACGTATATTTACATGTAGCGGCAAATTTAAATAAGCCAGTCATCACTTTTTAAAAGTTACAATATCCCTTGCATGTTTAAATACAATGCTTTTAAGTCTTTAAACTTAGGCCATTATCAAATTTTTTTGTTTGATGTACTCCGACCCAATTTTTCAAGGTGGGTAGGTAGGTTAGTGTTTTTTTGCTATCTGATAGATTAGTTATCCTGTTATCCTCATATAAAAAATGGAACTTGGAAATTTATTTCAGTGAATAGAATCACTCACTCACAGATGTTTTCATTGTGCACTGGACAAGACAGATTTATTATTTATTGCTCTAAAAAAGATCATTTAAAAAACTTCTTCAAGAAATTATACTTCTTTAAAATGAAACAATGTCTATTTCCGTGGAAACTAATTTTTTTTTAATTCAAAGAGGAAAATGATTGGGTGAGACAATTTTGATGGGTTGGTCGAAGTACATCAAACAAATCAATTTTTACTGTTGGCCTTACTTGTTTAAAGGGGCTATCAGCATTCTTCCTTTTGGGTGAGACATGTACAACAGAGTAGCTTCATAACGAACAGATTGGTCCTCATCAAACAAGGCAGAATACAACAAAGAATCAGCAGCCTATAATTAAAATTGGAAATTCTAACAAAATTGAATTTTATCTGTTTTATGGAGTGCATTGCAATAAACAAAGTAGAACTTTTTAATTCAATTCCTCTTCTTTGCAACACTTGTAATTACTTGTCACAGCAATAGTAGTAAATAAGTGATTTACCCTACACGAAATGAAATTTTTTATCCTTTTCCACATATTAAATACATTAACTAAAACTTCAAGTAGAAAAATTCTTGAATGATCTAAAAGCTGTATATTTACATGTTGATGTTCATATTTCCTGAGTGCATGACATCCAGCCCTTTTGATCCACTGTGAGTTTGTACTATTGATGTGAGAGATAATGTAATCATAGGACTCCTCCATTCTAGCATTCCCCAGTGTCTCCAGGAGAATCACTTTGTGATGGTCATAAGATTCCTTTTCTTCCTCTGTCATTACACTTCTTTTCTTTCTGTACTCCCAGGGATCTACATAACCAATAATTTAAGTAGATGATTTCAGCAGCAACAGCTTAAAATTTTTAAGTTAACCATCAACATCATAATGCCCTTTACTGATGGACTGAATTTCATTCACAATTCGTAGGTGTCGAGTCAATCATTTTTTCAAACATTGATATTTTACATTTTATAAACATATACAAGTAAGGATAAAGAAAGTTTCTTGTAGTCGTAGATGATCATCACATTAAACTGTAATTGAAAAAAAAACTTACCATGCATTCCCAACATTCCGTGGACTTTTCTGATCATTTCTTTTGCTCTCTGTAGTTGTCCCTCTTTTACAAGTAAATTACTGATAGCTCCTAAAGCCAACAGGCATCTACTGTAAGTCCCCCTGTGATAAAACTCTTTAGGAAATTTCTCCTGGTGAAATACAGCATCCTCAAGAGTGTTTAATAAAAGCTGCAAATAATAATAGCAATTCAATCAATGATGAAAGCCGAAAAGCAAGACAATTTATCAGAGACATATTCATGTAGTGTATCCACTTTATGAATCTTCAATAGCTAAAAATTCTTGATTCTGAAACAGTCAGTCTTCAATAACTTTACTTTTCAAAGGCTATATAGAGAATACATATGATAAATCAATGGGAGAACTCATGCTTTCAAAATCAAGAATTGGACAAAAGCCAGTTAAATGTCATTATTCTGGTAAGTTATGTCTTGTTGTTATGCAATTAGAAACAGACATAACAGTCAAATGTCTTTCAAATGAAAACATAAATGTACAATATGTCTGCATTTAGAGAAATGAAGAAATCCCAATACTTTGTTAATAGGCTATTGTTCATTATAATACTATATTCCTTATGAATTTCTTAGCTTTTTCTACATCACAGCACAAAAAATAATTGAAAGGGTATAATATTTTAACAATCATTAAACCAGCCTCCAAATAACGACAAAATCATAAAATTTCATATACTTTCTTTTCACTTCCATATAAATAGATGTCATTTAATACATGTACTACAAAGCTAGGTACAAATAATAAACTCTTAGCAAAACAAATTAAACATTATATGAAACAACGATCTTAAAAATATTGTTTGAACCATTTGACTGCACCTCATGTGGTGCCTTGTCATTAGTTGCTATATGTGCAACAATTCTTTGAATAAATTCAGGGTCTGGCTTTGGGTTAAGGAAGAATTTTTCCACCAGCAGTTTTTCAGTCAACTCTGTATTAAGTGCTGAGTAAACATCCAACATATTTTCAATCATATGTTTGCGTAATGAGGTTCTGAAATGTAAAAAAATTCAAACTTGTTTTGTTTGTAACTCACTGTCTTTCATTGTTAATTTTTTTCATCACACATAGCAATTACTAATTCTTTATTAAAGATATTAATTTAATTTCAAATTAAAAATTAAGTTTTTTCCCCTTGTATCAAAATGTCTTATCATATCTCCACATCATATTTCAATATATACAACTTTTAATGTCATAAATTTTCTACAACATTGAACGCATTTTTAAAATTAATACAGTTGAACCTTGGTATCTCAAACTCCAATATCTACAATACAATTGATATGAGAAAGTGATGAGGAAGTCCTGACCTCACATTCTTTAAGTATTTTACCCTCGATATCTTGAATTCCTAGCCATCCTAGGATATCTCAAAAAAATTTCTCACCCCTTCAGGTTTGAGATAACGAAGTTTGACTGTAATTATGCCTAAAATAAAACCTTTGTCTGCATGTCAAGAGAATTTAAACAAACAAATGCTTTTTAACTTACTTGGGATGTAGGTCTTGGAAATAAAAATCTGCTAAGTTGACTATTTCCTTGTCTGGTAATCTCTTGAGCAATATTACAATATTATGAAAGCACACAGCTAGAGAATGAGAACCTATTGAAAAGTTTAAAAAAGAAATTTTAAGTGACAACAATTTCAAGAAAGAACAGGGTTATATCACATCTAATAATTGATCTCGAATATAGTTGTATTGATCATGTTGATTATAAAGCTGAATGCTTGTTTACTTTAAAAATTGAGCTTGTGGAAACTTAAAATCTGACATTTTTCTTTCGCAGAGACAAAAAAGTTGATAAGTGGAAAGATTTACAATAATTTGTCATTTTTTCATTGAAGTTACTACTTTCTTACCATTTCTATATGGAATGAGCTTTTAAACAGATTGAGATGTATGCCAAAATATATTATTATACCCCCCGCTTGAAAAGCGGGAGGGTATATAGTAATCGTTAATTCCGTCCGTCCGTCCGTCCGTCTGTACGTCCGTCCGTCTGTCCGTCCGTCCATCTGTTACGCTTTGGGGTACCTATCTCTTATCCGCAACTCCTCTCATACCACTGAATGATATTTGATGAAACTTTCAGAGAATCTTTATTACATATTGCCATTGTGCACCTCCTATTTTACTTTTTGATCCGACACATATTTTGAGTTTCCCGGCCACAGGAAATCATGGACTTTTTCACCAGTTATAACCATATGGGAGGCGGGGGGTATCATTTAGTGAGCTCATCGCTCGCAGTACCTCTAGTTTATATATTATATAAATATTAATCAATTACCTTCAGCTGGTTGGTTTTCCATGCATGTTAAATTTCCTTCAATGTCTTCCTTTATTGCTGTAATATTTGGAAACTTTTCTTTCCTTTCAAGCTGAAATTAGTAAATTTAGTAATTTTAAGAATAAATACTTTACAGTTATTCTTCTTTCTACAAAACTTAACATCAACTCTTTCTTGTAAGATGTATGTACTTAAGAAATTCATTCTACATGATTTCATGTTCTACTTCAGAGGATTTAAAAATCATTACTACAAAGCTAACTGACATCATGAAAGTTATACCATATATAATTGGAAATTCTAGCGAGATGCAAATTTAACGTTTCCTTAAAAATTGGTATTTTATTTATAGCGAAAAGTAATTTTAGTTATTTTTAAATGCTCACTAAAGCTATTACAATCAAAACACAATTAATTTTTAGCAATATTCAATTTTAGCGATCTCAGCACCCTCACAATTAATGCCAAAATTATATCCTTCCTAAAAATTCTACTTATACAGTATTAATCAATTCAGGAAAGCTTCAGATCATCAGAATTTTGTGTACTACAGTAAAACACGGATATAACGAAGCGCTGGGGACCTCTAGATTTACTTCGCTATAAGCATACTTCGTTATATTGTTTATAACGAATTTCAATAAACTAGCAACAAAATTCGCTATAAGCAAAAAATCGATACATGTATTGTGAAACTTCCTAAAAAATTCGCAGAAAATTAAAAAAATCACGTTATCAATTCAAACATTTTTTATAGTCATTAAATATTTATTTATTTTGCACAAAATTTCTCAATTTTTGATTATTTCAATCCAGTTAGTTGAAGTTTTTTCAAATGGTGGTTAATCTCCGCGAACGCTTTAAACACTGAGTCAGGAACATTTTCCGACGAATGCTCAACACAATTCTGCACTTTCTGCATGTAAATATGTGCTTCTTTAATATTGATTTCATCGGTCGGTAAATCTTCTTGATCGGATGTTTCATTTTCATCGTCACTCGACAGTTCTTTGTTGATAACGGCATCAATAATCTGGTCATCATTCATGCTTTCTACAGACACGATATCTTTGTCAACATTCACGTAGTCATCACTACTTCCGTCAAATGCGCATGCTCACATTAATTCTGCAAGAGGCACGTCATCATCACTTTCCGAGTCAACATGATCAGCTGTTGCGCATAGTAAAGGTAGATCATCCTCTGGATCGAAATCGAAATCGGAATCATCAAAACCTGATTTCGTAAGTGACCGAAGAAATCCAGCCTTTTGGAAGCATCGAGCCACGCACAGACTTGTCACAGTTTTCCACGCGCTGAAAAGCATTCTAATGGCACGCAATACATGAACAGCTGGTTCCACTTTTGCTTCATGGCACTAAATAAAAAACATATCAACAATCAGTGTTTATTAACTTAAGATAAATTCTTTTTATCCATCCTCTCTCTCACTCACACACTCTCTCTCTCTCTTTCTCTCTCTCTCTCACATTCCAAAAATAGAATTGAAAATATTTCTCACCTCAAGGATGTATGTGATCAAGGACTGTCTGTATTTCACTTTCACGTTGTAGATAATACCTTGGTCCATCGGCTGTAGCTTGCTCGTTGTGTTTGGGGGTAAAAATGCAAGTTTAATTGCTCGAAGTTTGGATGGGCTGCGCAATTATCCACAAACAAAATAATTGACCGTTTTTGTGAAAACATCTGTCTGTCAACAGTTCGAAGCCATGCGATAAATACACTTGATGTCATCCACGCTCGTTTGTTGGACTTGTAAGTAACAGGTAGTGATTTGATACCTTTGAAACATCGGGGTTTCTGATATTTACCAATGACCAAAGGTTTTAATAAGTCTGAACCGTCCATATTTGCACATAAGAGAACCGAAAGTCTTTCTTTAGCTTTTTTCCCCCCCGAAACATTTTTCACCTTTCAAATGTAATGTTTTATTTGGAAGTAATTTGAAGAATAACCCGGTCTCGTCGGCATTATATATATCTCTTGGTTCATAATTTTTTATCAAAGTGGGCAATTTGCTTGTCAGCCAATTGTCTTCCAAGTCAGCACTGACCTCCGCCGATTCGCCGCTGATAGAACGGGACACAATGCTATGCCGAGTTTTAAATCTTTCTAACCAGCCTGTATTAGAATTAAACGATGTGTCGCCAAGTCGCTCTGCAAATTCATCTGCCTTCGTCATTAACACAGGACCTGACAAAGGAACATTGAGACTACGTTTTTCCTGGAACCACTTAAATAAAGCTTCTTCAACTTGAGTATGCGCACCAGAACGATGTCGTTTCCTAGAAGGAGACGAAGAGTCAAACTGTTTAATAATGGCATCACGATTCTTTAAAATTGTGCTTAGATAATTTTGTAAAATTCCGAAATCACTGGCAATGTCCTTTTTAGGTTTTTTCCTTCATCTACCGCTAAAATTATCTGATATTTTGTTTCCAGAGAAATAGCCTTTCGTTTTCTGGGTGGCGAATCCTTGTCTCGATCAATCCGTACTTGACAAATTAATGGTAGAAAACCTTGATCACCACATGAATACATTTCATTTTAAATCAGACTTTTTTATTATGTGAAAACAGTTCACGTGAAAACTATCCCGCTTGGGGCCTCTATCGGTGATATTTAAAGCTAGTGGGGAATTACAGATTCTATTTATAGATAAGTACATTCTTAGCCTAAAATGAACAGCATTTTTAAATAATCATAATCAATTTTCAACTCGCGTTTCCAATTAAAAATAAACAAAACAAATCTTGCATTTGTTTTCCTCTGACATATTTTTTTAATAATGAGCTAAATATTCTGTTGTTACAACACAAGCCGGTCCCGTGTTTAGCTGTTACCGTAATGCGCATCCATGCGGAAATGTGTGAAACCCTTAAGTGTGAAAACAAGGAATTCGCTATATACATTGGAATTTCAGTGTTGTTTTAGCCAAAGGGGATTAAAAATTACTTCGTTATATCCGTAAATTCGCTATATTCAACTTCGCAATAAACGTTAATTTTGGTAAGACATTTATAGAAATTCGGCCGGGGAATGACAAGTGCTTCGCTATAAGTGTAAATTCTTTATAAGCGTGATCGCTATATCCGTGTTTTACTGTAATTGCTTATTAACTTTTTTCAAAAAAATTCAATTTTAAAATATCATTTTGTATGAATATTGAATTACATTTCCCACTTGTATGGATGCAGTGAAAAGGTATTTGCTTGGTCTTTCCCATTCTTTTTGATCTGCATGTCTAGTTAGAAAATAAAGCTTCCCATGGCTTACATATGCCATGTCCGGTAATTCTGAAACCAAAAAGGGAATGAAATTACCATGTACATCTTTTAATGACCGTACACTATTCCTGTCTTTTCTAAATTACCTACATGGAAGGGGGCTTGGTCCTTTACTTGAAAAATTAAAAATCCCTAAAATTAAAAAGATCTGTTCTGTTACTTTATATAAAGATAGGACTTTCCTGTTAATTACACAATTTAAATCAATCGTGTTTCATAGATATCCAAGATTTAACACAATTACAACCGATTTCTTACCAACTCGAAATGTAAATATCAGACACAGTTTAATGTCAATTTAACTATAGAAAAATGGGGATATTTAAGCTCAAAATCATTGAAAAATTCAATTTTGAACGTAATTACAATCACATACTTTCCTTGGGGCAAATTTTCCAGGTTTGAGAAAAAATTAATATGTGGGGATTTGATTTCATGGTTGGAGATGTGTTGTGTAGTTATTGAATTTTACATTTCGTGGTGGTCATGAATTCGTGGATCTTTTCATACCTCGAAAACAACAAAAATTAACCCCCCACAAAAGTTAGTGATTTCACAGTATCATGAAAATCTACACTAAATCTCGTATTTTTATTTTTTAGCTCAGACACGTAAAACAAGAATCCTCTCTACATTGCATACTAAAGATCTCATTACTTGAACCTTATTCATTATTTTTTGTTTTTTGATAACATCATTTCCAGTTCAGAGAATGGCAGAGATTTTGTCGATTTTAAGATTTAAGTACCCGGTAAGAGTGCAAAGATAAATATATATTATTATAACAGTATCTTGATCCAAAGGGTCGTATTACGTCCAGTTGACAGGTGGCAATCATCAGATCTAACGAGATGCGAAGCGTCGAGTTTGATCTGATGATCTGCACCTGTCAACGAGACGTTACACGGCTTTTTGGATCAAGTTCCTATTATAATAATAAGTTTATTATATACCCCCTTATAACTAGTTAAATATAGCAAAATAAAACTTCAGAGATCAATTGTATAATATTTATCCATAAAACAAAGCATAATAACAATGGAATTTTTAACGCGCAAGAAAAACTATTTCGTGTTTTTGCGTACTACGTCATCAGTTTCAGAGAGTGGTGATATAGATTCAGAAAACCACAGTGTGGTGATCCGGTAAGTCGGATCACAACGTCACGTGATTGCGTTAATTCTACAATATTTACATTCGCTGTGTTTTTCTACTAAGCCACCTGTGAAATGATTTGAAAGTCGTTTTTGTGTATACTCACATGTAGAAATATACATGGAGAAACGTGCGTTAACGTGACGTCACAATGAGATTGCAGCGACGCAAGTAAAAATGCAGCAATATAGGACAGCAAGACATTCAAATATTGAGTATATTTTTCTTGCTTCCAAACATGTAAAATGTAAATATAAGGAATGTTTTTCAGTTCAGTGTGAATTATTGGTGTGTGAATCACACAGACTTGCACGTAGGCATATTTTTCATGAAGTGCTAGAGCGCTTCATGAAATATGCCTACGTGACAAGTCTGTGCGATACACACATCAATAACTCAAACAAAACTAAACAAGAGGCCCAGGGGCCACAGCACTCACCTGAGCACATCAGCTAGGAAAAACCACATATCATGATTTGGACGAACTAGAATCTACACTACCTGAGGATAATTCTACATAAATATTACTAATCATGGCTCTGAAGTACTTGAAAAGAAGATTTTAAAAGGTTTCTCTTTATATTCCTATGAGAATTAATTTTTGGTCGGGCATTTTGGCCCCATCCTACCCCCGGGATCATGATTTGAACAATCTTGAATCTACACTATCTTCGGATAATTTCACATGAGTTTCATCTTTCCTGTCTCAATGGTTCTTGAGAATTTGATTTTTAAAAATTTTTCCTATATATTCCTATGTAAAACTTTGATCGGTCATTTTGGCCCCACCCTACCCCCGGGGGTCATGATTTGAACAAACTTGAATCTACACTATCTGAGGATGATTCCACATGAGTTTCATGTTTCCTGGCCATGGCCCAGTGGTTCTTAAGAAGATTTTTAAAGATTTTTCCTATATATTCCTATGTAAAATTTTGATCGGCCATTTTGGCCCCACCCTATCCCAGGGGGTCATGATTTGAACAAACTTGAATCTACACTATCTGAGGATGATTCCACATGAGTTTCATCTTTCCTGGCCCTGTGGTACTTGAGAAGAAAATTTTTAAAGATTTTTCCTATATATTCCTATGTAAAACTTTGATTGGCCATTTTGGCCCCACCCTACCCTTGGGGGTCATGATTTGAACAAACTTGAATCTACACTATCTGAGGATGATTCCACATGAGTTTCATCTTTCCTGGCCCTGTGGTTCTTGAGAAGAAGATTTTTTCTATATTTCCTATGTAAAACTTTGATCGGCCATTTTGGCCCCACCCTACCCCTGGGGGTCATGATATGCAAACTTGAATCGGCCATTTTGGCCCCACCCTACCCCCGTGGGTCATGATATGAACAAACTTGAATCTACACTATCTGAGGATGATTCCACATGAGTTTCATCTTTCCTGGCCCAGTGGTTCTTAAGAAGATTTTTAAAGAGATTTCCTATATATTCCTATGTATAACTTTGATCGGCCATTTTGGCCCCACCCTACCCCCGGGGGTCATGGTTTAAACAAACTTGAATCTACACTATCTGAGGATGATTCCACATGAGTTTCATCTTTCCTGGACCTGTGGTTCTTGAGAAGAAGATTTTTAAAGATTTTTCCTATATTTCCTATGTAAAAATTTGATCGGCCATTTTGGCCCCACCCTGCCCCCGGGGGTCATGATATGAACAAACTTGAACCTACACTACCTGAGGATGATTCCACATAAGTTTCATTTTTCCTGGCCCTGTGGTTCTTGAGAAGAAGATTTTTTAAAAATGGCATTAATTTTTTTCAAATTCATAATTATCTCCCCTTGGAAAAGGGTTTGGCTCTTCATTTGAACAAACTTGAATCCCCTTTACCCAAGGATACTTTGTAGCAAGTTTGGTTGAAATTGGCCCAGTGGTTCTTGAGAAGAAGATGAAAATGTGAAAAGTTTATGACGACGACGACAACGATAACAACGACAACAACGACGACAACGACAGACAACGGACAAATCTTGATCAAAAAAGCTCACTTGAGCCTTCGGCTCAGGTGAGCTAAAAACATTCCTAAGTAAAATTGAGTGATACACGTTGGGTATATAATAAACCATTCAATGGTATACCACAGTTTATTTTACTACCGTTCAATTCACGATACATGAAACTGATATCACTGTTCAGTTCAATCGGTCCATAATTATCTGAATCATCCATTTTGGTTCCTCGTTTACAATTCAAAATGGCTTCTGCACTAAACACAATGTCGAAGAAATTGCAGACACAGCAGTTAAACTTGTTTTCAGCATACTGTAAATCAACTTTTATTCGCGTGCGAGTAATGTTCACGAAGTTCGCGAGAGCCTCGTCATAGCGAATATTTCTCGCAGCGAACCGGTTCTTAAAGACTATGTGTCTATTAAAAAGAGAACCTAAATAGGCTTTATCGCGAAAATTAATCGTCGCAAGCTAGTTTACCCCCAGTCAATCGCGAAATAAAGTCGTCGCGAATAAAAGTTGGTTTACAGTATTTTAAAACCCCTATTTAACGGGTTGAAAGATGTTATCACTTTTGTAGTGTTATTAAAAGTTATTGATGTTAAGGCAAGTGACAAACCCTTTAAATCCAATAGCATTGAACAGTTATTCACGATATTGTATCATGTTTGTATTTATCAGGTTGGGAACGTGTATCATATGTATTGTATCGTGAACTGAATACCGTGATATGTATCGTATCGTGGGATCCATGTATTGTTGCACCCCTAATATAAAGAGTAGGTGTGTCTTCAAATTTTCTCATAAATTGTTCTATAGATGGAAACTTTTGGAAACTTTAAGTTTGGTGCTGTTACTGACATTTTATTTAGTGCACATTAAATGTGGTGAAAAAGTTTTAAACTCAATGAACTTTTTACCATTAAGACTTAGTGCTACATGTATGCATATTTGTTTTTAAAATGGATTTTAATATTTTTTGTCAATATTTTGCAATAAATGCTTTTAAATAAATGCATTTCACTTACTTGGAAAATACACAGGTAAATTCCAGAAATGAAAAAAAAAATATGTTGGAAATGAAAACAAAAAATGTCAGAAATGAAAACAAAAAATGTCAGAAATGCTATGCATATTTTCAAAAACGAAATGCAGCATTTAATATTAAAAGTCCCTAAAATCGTTTCTGACACATCATTGTAAGTCCAATGCTCTTCACAACTCTCCAAAATTGGCCTGGAGATTTTTAAGAAGAGGCTGAAAATGTAGTTTACAAATGGATAGACACCCAAGAACAGATGATTACAAGACATCAGTTGAATTTTCAGCTTAGGCATGTTAGGAGAGATTTGTCAGAGAAAAATAAATCGTTTTGATAGCTTCTCACCTATGGTACTGAAATTATTCTCAGACTTCACTTTCCTCATCTTCTCATGTGGATCAAAACTAGAAAAAAACATGTACATGTATTTAATAATAAAATGAAATTGAAGATATTACATCCAGCACAATATTATTATCGAATACAATTTTTAAATATGAATAAGTATGAATTGCTTCGTTTTACGGCATAATTTTACTAGAGTAAAAGTTTTTTATTTTTATTTATTTTTATCAGCTAGCTACAATGTGTGCATTATCAACATTATGTCATACCTCTGATGTGCTCTTGGAGACTTAAAGTCTTCCTTAATTAAAACACTGTGTATAGTACCCAGATAGTCATGGAAATGCAAGGTCTAAAAAATAATAATGATACACTGTTTAAGATTATTGAAAAGAAGCTTTCTATCTCAAAAATATTTAATTCAGCATGAAATTTATTTGTGATCTAGGCTAATATTTTAACTTCAATTTTATTTTTTTTTTCAATACAAAAATAAACCATCAGATAAATTCCTGTTCTAAAAATTGAGTAGTTCTGCATGACCTATGGATACTTGCATATTGATATGACTAATCATGGCCCTTCTATTGTTTAGAAGCTTTTTGTAATTTGTATGTAATGTTGCAAAATTAATGATAATTCTTAGTTTAATTTATTAAAGTTCAGAATTATTATAAATTTAATATATCATTAATTTCACAAAGACATTGACTGAGTCTGCATTTCTTCCATTCCTCTGTGCCTACGAAATAATGAAGATATGTGGCATATGGCAATATATTATTTCAAATTACCTTTGAGTTATCAATTGAAAGAAAGGTGAAACATGAGTTTTTTTTCATATGAAAATATACTCACCGTCAATAGAAACGCAACACCCTAATTTTAGGGTGAAAATTATGTACAAGATATAACTATGTACCAAAAAAGTTAAAGACATCTTTACTTTTGCCAAATTAGTTTTTTAACAGATGAATGATTTTTCATTCCATTACCGGAAGTTGATTTTTAGCCTTCTTAACAGAAATCAAATATTAGCATTTTCGGTAAAATATTTGACAATATTTTGGGTTTTTAAGGTTTTATACCAGTCCTGTTAATCATAAGTATTGTACTAAAATCTCGGGAAAATATATTTCTTTCTTTTCCGGATGTGATACCTGTATTTCCTCAAAATTACAGAAAGCACGCATTTTCATTGATGATGCTGGAAATTCTCAAAATAAAGAGAAAGGAAACATACAGATGCAAATATATACTACATGACAACTTTTCGGGCTTATGTGCTTCAAAAGCATGAATGACAGTTCATTGACCGGAAGTCTACGGGTTACTACACTGTGCCAAGTTAGAGAAAATTCGACCTCAGTATCTGAACAACAGGCAATTAAAAATGCCCAAGAATATTTATTTCGCTCAGATAAAGACATTGATAAACCTAATGCATATAGAAATCGGACTGTGTATGTTGTACATGGCGGATTAGCATGTTTTGATTAAATGGTCAGAAGGGGGGATGTTTTATTTAAATGTTATCTGTTAAGAGGGCTAATAAATCAACTTTCGGTAATGGAATGAAAACCATTCAAACATTAAATAACTGATTTGGCAAAGTAAAAGATGTCCTGACTTGTTCGGTACATAGTTATATCCTGTATATAATTTTCACCCTAAAATTAGTGTTGCGTTTCCATTGACGGTGAGTATTTATATTCAAACTTGCATGCATATAAAATATTCTTTTAAAAAAACTTTGATGGGACTCAAACTAGTCTCCTGCAGATTTCCTTTAATAGTACAGTGTACAAGAGCAAGAGCACTTTTGAATTGAAGATACACTTACAATTACATTTCTTGAGTCACTTGCTTACATTTTTATTTACAATACATTTTAATAAAGTTGAATATTACATTAACAATAATCTCTATTGAACATTTATTAGGAACAATTTTTGGTGAATTTCCATAAAATTAAGCAACAGATTAATTTCCAAGGGAGCTTATAGTTTCATTGATTGGCAGGTCCTACTGCCGATGGAGTAAAAAGGTTTTTGTCAAGATTGTTAGCTGAGACACAATAAAAAATATAACAAGAGGCCCACGGGCCTTATAGGTCACCTGAGCATTATGCAACAACTTTCCAGTTACAGTGTATTGAATTTGATTCATGTTTTAAGCCAGATGCTATATGGCATTCACAATTTTGAAAGGGCACCATTGATCATCATAACAATAAATTTAGCAGTTGCTTAGCTTGGTTACTGAAAACCCATACGCAGGGTAGGGGAACAAAAATGCACTCCAACTAATCAGTAATATTCATCAATAATCTAGTGCCCCTAACACTCTGACATAAACCCCTGACCCTAGGTTGCACAAATTTTTAAAAGGCACCCTTAAAATTGCCTATCAAAAAGTAAATAAATGTTTTATAAATACAAAGGACCAGATTTCAAACAATTAATTCATTTTCAGTATATAAGTAGAGCCCCCCCCCACCCCTGACCCGGGGGCCTTGAAATTCACAATTCTGCAAGATTGGGGCACTTGCATATCATAACTATATAGGTAGTTCATCTGCTTCATACCCAGAGACAGAGAAGAAAATTTTCAAAGATTTAATGTATTTTCACTATATAATCAATAGAGCCCCACCCTAACACCAGAACCCCAGACCCTGGGGCAATGAAATTCATAATTTTAGAAGAGGCATTCTTGCTCATCATAACTATGCACTTACTAAGTTTATTTAATACCTAGGAGCAGAGAAGAAGATTTTCAAAGAATTCATGTATTTTCACTTTATAATTAATAAAGCCCCCCCCCCCCCCCCACCAGAACCATTGACGCTGGGGCCATTAAATTCACAATTTTTGTAGAGGCACTCTTTTTCATCATAACTATGAACTTAGTTAGTTTATTTAATACCTAGGAGCAGAGAAGAAGATTTTCAAAGAATTCATGTATTTTCACCATATGATCAATAGAGCCCCCCCCCCCCCCACACCAGAACCCTTGACCCTGGGGCCATAAAATTCACAATTTTGGTTGAGGCACTCTTGCTCATCATCACTATGCACTTAGTTGATTTATTTAATCCCTAGGAGCAGAGAAGAAGATTTTCAAAGAATTCATGTAATTTCACTATATAACCAATGGAGCCCCCCCCCAACACCAGAACCCTTGATGATAGGGCCATTAAATTCAAAATTTTGGTTGAGGCACACTTGCTTATCATAACTATGTACTTAGTTAGTTTATATAATACCTAGGAGCAGAGAAGAAGATTTTCAAGGAATTCACATATTTTCACTATATAATTTATAGAGCCCCCCCCCCCCCCCCCCACAAACACACACACACCAGAACCCTTGACCCTGGGGCCATAAAATTCACAATCTTGGTTGAGGAACACTTGCTTATCATAACTATGTACTTAGTTAGTTTATTTAATACCTAGGAGCAGAGAAGAAGATTTTCAAAGAATTCATGTATTTTCACTTTATAATTAATAAAGCCCCCCCCCCACCACCACCACCACCACCAGAACCATTGACGCTGGGGCCATAAAATTCACAATTTTTTTAGAGGCACTCTTTTTCATCATAACTATGCACTTAGTTAGTTTATTTAATACCTAGGAGCAGAGAAGAAGATTTTCAAAGAATTCATGTATTTTCACCATATGATCAATAGAGCCCCCCCCCCCCACCAGAACCCTTGACCCGGGGGCCATAAAAATCACAATTTTGGTTGAGGCACTCTTGCTCATCATCACTATGCACTTACTTAATTTATTTAATACCTAGGAGCAGAGAAGAAGATTTTCAAAGAATTCATGTAATTTCACTATATAACCAATGGAGCCCCCCCCCCCCCAACACCAGAACCCTTAATGATAGGGCCATTAAATTCAAAATTTTGGTTGAGGCACACTTGCTTATCATAACTATGTACTTAGTTAGTTTATATAATACCTAGGAGCAGAGAAGAAGATTTTCAAGGAATTCACATATTTTCACTATATAATTTATAGAGCCCCCCCCCCCCCCCCCCCACAAACACACACACACCAGAACCCTTGACCCTGGGGCCATAAAATTCACAATCCTGGTTGAGGAACACTTGCTTATCATAACTATGTACTTAGTTAGTTTATTTAATACCTAGGAGCAGAGAAGAAGATTTTCAAAGAATTCATGTATTTTCACTTTATAATTAATAAAGCCCCCCCACCACCACCACCACCACCAGAACCATTGACGCTGGGGCCATAAAATTCAAAATTTTTGTAGAGGCACTCTTTTTCATCATAACTATGCATTTAGTTAGTTTATTTAATACCTAGGAGCAGAGAAGAAGATTTTCAAAGAATTCATGTATTTTCACCATATGATCAATAGAGCCCTCCCCCCCCCCCACACCAGAACCCTTGACCCTGGGGCCATAAAATTCACAATTTTGGTTGAGGCACTCTTGCTCATCATCACTATGCACTTACTTAATTTATTTAATACCTAGGAGCAGAGAAGAAGATTTTCAAAGAATTCATGTAATTTCACTATATAACCAATGGAGCCCCCCCCCCCCCAACACCAGAACCCTTAATGATAGGGCCATTAAATTCAAAATTTTGGTTGAGGCACACTTGCTTATCATAACTATGTACTTAGTTAGTTTATATAATACCTAGGAGCAGAGAAGAAGATTTTCAAGAAATTCACATATTTTCACTATATAATTTATAGAGCCCCCCCCCCCCCCCCCCACAAACACACACACACCAGAACCCTTGACCCTGGGGCCATAAAATTCACAATCTTGGTTGTGGAACACTTGCTTATCATAACTATTTACTTAGTTAGTTTATTTAATACCTAGGAGCAGAGAAGAAGATTTTCAAAGAATTCATGTATTTTCACTTTATAAACAATAAAGTCCCCCCCCCCCCCCCCCCCCCCCCCCCGGAACCATTGATGCTGGGGCCATAAAATTCACAATTTTGGTAGAGGTACTCTTGCTCATCATAACTATGCACTTAATCAGTTTATTTGATACCTAGGAGCAGAGAAGAAGATTTTCAAAGAATTCATGTAATTTCACTATATAATCAATAGAGCCCCCCCCCCCCCCCAACACCTGTACCCTTGACCCTGGGGCCATAAAATTCACAATTTTGGTAGAGGCACACTTGCTTATCATAACTATGTACTTAGTTAGTTTATATAATACCTAGGAGCAGAGAAGAAGATTTTCAAGGAATTCACATATTTTCACTATATAATTTATAGAGCCCCCCCCCCCCCCCCACAAACACACACACACCAGAACCCTTGACCCTGGGGCCATAAAATTCACAATCCTGGTTGAGGAACACTTGCTTATCATAACTATGTACTTAGTTAGTTTATTTAATACCTAGGAGCAGAGAAGAAGATTTTCAAAGAATTCATGTATTTTCACTTTATAATTAATAAAGCCCCCCCCCACCACCACCACCACCACCAGAACCATTGACGCTGGGGCCATAAAATTCAAAATTTTTGTAGAGGCACTCTTTTTCATCATAACTATGCACTTAGTTAGTTTATTTAATACCTAGGAGCAGAGAAGAAGATTTTCAAAGAATTCATGTATTTTCACCATATGATCAATAGAGCCCCCCCCCCCCCCCCACCAGAACCCTTGACCCTGGGGCCATAAAATTCACAATTTTGGTTGAGGCACTCTTGCTCATCATCACTATGCACTTACTTAATTTATTTAATACCTAGGAGCAGAGAAGAAGATTTTCAAAGAATTCATGTAATTTCACTATATAACCAATGGAGCCCCCCCCCCCAACACCAGAACCCTTAATGATAGGGCCATTAAATTCAAAATTTTGGTTGAGGCACACTTGCTTATCATAACTATGTACTTAGTTAGTTTATATAATACCTAGGAGCAGAGAAGAAGATTTTCAAGAAATTCACATATTTTCACTATATAATTTATAGAGCCCCCCCCCCCACAAACACACACACACCAGAACCCTTGACCCTGGGGCCATAAAATTCACAATCTTGGTTGTGGAACACTTGCTTATCATAACTTTGTACTTAGTTAGTTTATTTAATACCTAGGAGCAGAGAAGAAGATTTTCAAAGAATTCATGTATTTTCACTTTATAAACAATAAAGTCCCCCCCCCGGAACCATTGATGCTGGGGCCATAAAATTCACAATTTTGGTAGAGGTACTCTTGCTCATCATAACTATGCACTTAATCAGTTTATTTGATACCTAGGAGCAGTGAAGAATATTTTCAAAGATTTCATGTAATTTCACTATATAATCAATAGAGCCCCCCCCCCCAACACCTGTACCCTTGACCCTGGGGCCATTAAATTCACAATTTTGGTAGAGGCACTCTTGCTCATCATAACTATTTACTTACTTGGTTTATTTAATACCCAGGGGCAGAGAAGAAGATTTTCAAAGAAATCATGTATTTTTACTATATAATCAATAGAGCCCCCCCAACTCCAGAATCCTTGATGATAGGGCCATTAAATTCACAATTTTGGTAGAGGCACTCTTGCTCATCATAACTATTTACTTACTTGGTTTATTTAATACCCAGGGGCAGAGAAGAAGATTTTCAAAGAAATCATGTATTTTTACTATATAATCAATAGAGCCCCACCCTAACACCAGAACCCCTGACCCTGGGGCCATAAAATTCACAATTTTGGTAGAGGCACTCTTGCTCATCATAACTATGTACTTAGTTGGTTTATTTAATACCCAGGAGCAGAGAAGAAGATTTTCAAAGAAATAATGCATTTTCACTATATACTTATTTAGCCCCGCCCTAGCACTAGAACCCGACCCCAGGGCCATGAATTTCACAATTTTGGTAGAGGACTCAATGCTGATTACAATCATGCAAATAGTTTGACTGCTTGATGTCCAGGAGTAAAGAAGAAGATTTTTAAAGATTGCATTAATTTTAGTAGTTTTGGCCCCACCCCTCAGGCCCCAGGGGGGGGCAGGGATAATGAAATTCACAATTTTTGTTCCCCTTCACCTATAGATGCTTTGCGCTTTACTCAGGTGACCTAAAAAGTCTTAGAGAAAACCCTATATTATCATAAAATACAAGAAAAATACCGACCTTAGCATAATTTGCCCTTGCATTAATAACAGGATGTCCGTGTCTGATTTTAGTGAAAGTCAACCCATCATCTGCAGGGGATACAATATATGTTGCGTTGTGTTCACCTAAAACAAAATGAGGAAGGGCAACTTAATTTGATGTCAATCTCAAAATTTGATAGTTTGCTGTCACAGATCCAAGAGTTCATCTGGTTCTGAAGCCATCAAAAACAAGAGGCCCAGGGGCCACATCGCTCAAAGCTCGAGCTCTGGCTAGGTAATAGCAAAAATAAGTTCAGTATTGAAAAGTTTAAATATATAAGTGGGTTCAGGGGTTCAGGGGATCAGGGGATGGGGGTGAACAAACTTAAATCTATACTTCATAAGGATGCTTTTGAATAACTGTGAAGTCACTGATTTTTGTGGGGGATTAATTTTTGTTGTTTTCAAGGTATGAAGAGACCCACAAATTTATTTCTACCACAAAATGTAAAATGTCATATACATAACTACTCAACAATTCTTCATCAATGAAATTAAAACCCCAAGAACCTGTATTATTTTACAAACCAAAAAATTTTCCCCCACGAAAATATGCAATTTTACAGTAATACAACAAATAATGGCTTTGCTGTTTGCAAAATGAACATTTTTATTGAAAAAATGTTTATATTCCTTTGTTATGATCCACTTTAATGGCTCCTCTATTCTCCTACTTGGTCATGATTTGAACAAATTTAAATCTACATGACCTTTTTTTATGCTTTTATATTAATAATTAATCATGGTTTTGTTGTTCTTTTGAAAAATTTCAACAATTTTCCCCATGTATTCCCGCATAAAACCTTGACCACATATTTAGTAGGGCTGGGACGATACAACTTTTTCTATATTGATACGTATCACGATATTTGAGCCACGATACAATATGTATCACAATATGTTTAATTGCTTATAAAATCTTTTTTTGCATTGAAATAAACAAATTATTTCTTTGCAAATAAGAATAATTTATTCAAAATAGTTGTTTATATGTTGTAAAACAAAAATATTTTACTCAAGTGGTGTTAATTATTATTTATTTCACATCTATATTTATATTTATCTTATTTACTTTATATATTAAACCCCAAATGTTAAATAAACAAAGAAAAATAGAAGTAAGATTTTGGGGGGCGATATTTCGATATTTCTTCATATGTATCGATATGCATATTGTCCTCACATATATCACGATATATCAATATCTCGATATATCATCCCAGCCCTAATATTTAGGCCCCACTCTACCCCAAGGGGCCCTGATTCGAACATACTTGAATCTACAATACCAGAGGATGTTTCCATATAACTATGATCAGTCATGGCTTTGCTTTTCTAGAGAAGAAGAATATTAATTTTAAAGATTTTTCCAATGTATTCCTAAGTTAAACTTTGATACCCCATTGTGGCCCCACCCTACACCCCATGCAGGGTCATGGTTTGAATAAACTTGAATTTACCAAGTACACTAATAGAGGATGCTTCAACATAAGTTTCATCTTTCCTGGCCCAGTGGTTCTTGAGAAGATTTTTTAAAGATTTTTTTCCTATGTATTCCTATTTTAACTTTGATCCCCTACTATGGCCCCACTTTACTCTTGAGGGGTCATGAATTGAACAAACTTGAATCTACACTACCTGAGGATGCTTCCAAACGAGTTTCATCTTTTCTGGCCCAGTGGTTCTTGAGAAGATTTTTAAAGATGCCATTTATTTATCACTAATTTTATAATACCTGTAATTATCTCCCCTGGAAGAGGGTGTGGCCCTTCATTTGAAAAAAACTAGAATTCCCTTTACTTAAAATATACTTAGAAATAAGTTTTCAAAATATCGAATCCATAAGTTGAGCAAAAATGTACCTTCACTCCCATTTTCTGTTGTATTATAAGTAAAGCCTTTGCTGTTTTCCATTCCGAAGATCTAAAATTAAAAAAGAAAATATCATTATATATAGAACTAACCTTTCTATCATTGTTATCTTGAATATAATATAATATTTAGTACAGATATTTACAAAATTTACATGCCTCTCCCTTTTCATGCAGTCTTGATGCAAATAAGGCTGCAAATCCTTTCTTTGTGGAAACAATTTCTTCATCCTCTCCCTTTGGATGATAGACATGTGTGACTACACCGCGAGTTGATATCTCAAAAGAAAACCTGTTTTAAAAAAAAAACAAACAAAGGTTCTAACAAAAAATGACATTTTTATTTTAATTTTCATAAAAATTCTAAACTTTCTTAGTTTCCTAACAAAAAATGCACAATGTTAAAAATAAACCAGAAGTCTCTGTCAAGACTGTAGCTCTATTGGTTTGTACTTAAAACAAAGGAAGAGAAAAGTAGCAGTTGGGACTTGAAACTTTACAACATCAATAAATAGAATAATGATCCTTGATTACATCTCTTTTTGTGGCAAGACTGCAATATGAGTAGCTTTAAATAAAATTTTACAGAATTTTCATTTTTAGTTACCATGGCAACAACATCAAAATTTTTTTTTAAAACAATAAAGACAGTTAATATGCATCTTAGTGAGGACTATATGCATGCTACATTATACTATAATCAAACTAAAACTGTAGGAGGAATAGCATTTTTAAAGTATTTTACATAAATTTCTATATTTAGTAACCACAGCAACATTGTTCACTGAAATCAAAAACCGATATGCAGAATTGTGTATCATTAAAGTGTAGTCTTCTTGTGTGCCAAGTTATTTTGAAATCAGACCAAAACTGTAAGAGGAGTCCCATTTTGAAAATTTGTTTACAGACGGACGGATGTACTTCAGACACATTACTATCTCATGAGCTCTTCTGGTCTCTGACCAATAGAGCTAAAATCCTACAATACACCATCAACAGCTCCAAAATTAAATCCAGGTGTCTTTGCAATATTTTAAATCTTTCAATTTCTGCCTTATATAGTAGAAAAGAAGCTCTATGGTTTTTATGGCGACAATTAAAGTAGATATTATGCAGTAAACAAACAAAAACCATGTTGCTTATTGAATCACAAACATGTAGTAGATTTTCATGCCTTGAAACTCATTCAGTTGATTGGAGAACGAATGTGACAATACTAATTAATTTGGAAGTTATTTTTAATACAAATTCTTTTGTATCCTTCAAAATTATTTCAAAGTGATTCTGCAATTATTTGGTACATTGCAAGTATATGGGGGTATTCTAACTGTGGTGACGGCTTGTCCCAAGTTTGATTATTATAACTAAGTCCAGAGCTGCCAACATTCTGAAATGAAAAATAGTAAGGGGTTGTCCGGGAACTGCCTAGGCCCCTGCCGCTGAAGATGTTTGTAAATGAACATACAATCTGAACAATTTGAGGTACATTTCCATTTTGTTTACTTTAAAACATTGACATGGATGTGATCGGCCATCTATTATGATCTAAAACCAAAATGACGATACAAGCAAGTGTTGTAAGGTTAGGATTATAAATATTTAATTATAATAGTAGAATCTGTAGACAACCAGTTATCATAAACTTCAATCAAGAAAAAACAAAATCAGAAAAATATAGAGAGAAATCGTAAGGCGTATTCTGGACACTAATTTCGTAAGACTTACACCAAAATCGTAAGGGTTGGCAGCTCTGCAAGTCACATTAAATTGCATTTTCTCACTATTGTGACGTTACCTATTTTCGATAGTATCCTAATTTCGATAGGCTAATGTTTTTAACAATAAATCAGAAAACCTAGTTTTTGGGAACTGTTATCATGGTTATCCCGAAATTATCATCAGATGTAAAAAGTGTAATAAAGCCAAAAAGATAGATTATGCCATTTAGAGAGGTAAGATTCTATTTTTCTTTTTATATAATCAAATCACGCCCTTTCCTCTTATTGCCAAAAAAAATTCACTCTAAAACCCTATATCTCATAAGCCTGAAAACAACATTTGGTGTTTTAATGTTATCGTCTGTTAAAAAGCTCTGTGTTCTGGCCTAAAAATAGATAAGCCTAACTTTGGGCACACTTCCGCTTAAAAAATAAATTATGGAAGCCTGTTACAGGTCTTTTATTTTCAATTTCGACATTTTTTAATGCTTTAAATTTTGTTTCTGTTGATTTATTATTCGTTTTTTTGTAGATATTTTCCATCAAAAGGGGAAATTACAAGAATTAGTATAGGCCAAAGGCTGTGGATAATACTTTCCAAGCAGACAATGGCTCCTGGCTTGAAATTTCAATTTTATTAAATTTCAACCAAAAAATAATAATTTTAATGTTATAATTAATTATCATGATTATATTTTATTTGTTGTTAAGATTATAGTTGAAAATAGGACCAAAAAAATCCAATACCATAAAAAATAGGGCTGGGACGATACAACTTTTTCTATATAGATACGTATCACGATATTTGAGACACGATACGATATGTATCACTATACTTTTAATTGCTTATAAATCTTTTTTTTCCAATGAAATAAACAAATTATTTCTTTGCAAATAAGAATAATTTATTCAAACTAGTTGTTTATATGTTGTAAAACAAAAATATTTTACTCAAGTGGTGTTGATTATTATTTATTTCATATCTATATTTATTTAGCTTTAGTCATATAAAGTTAAATTAACAAAAATAACACTGCAATATGTTTTAAATTGCATTTTCAATAAAATATTTAGTGGAAAAATAACATTATGACTCACTTATGGCCAGGTACTGTAGGTAAATAAAGTTACAGTAGATTTCTACCAACGTAAGTAAATGACTGATTGTACAGGACCTCCATGTCGTGACAACAGACAGGTCCAGAACAATCACTAGATTCAGCTACATAGGTAGAATTACCTATGTAGCTTTATTTACCTACCTAAGGTAGCTTTATTTAGCTATTTCCAAGTAAGTTTTCAAAAATTTTCTTTTTATTAAAAAGAGACAAAAAGTCGCAATTAAATGACTATTGTTATTTATACTAGGGAGGCTAAAAAAAACAATACAAATCAGAGATAGTTTATACATTGCTGCGTTTGGACAATTTAGAGCAAAACATGTAATTCCACTGTTTGGTTGGCTGTCCGTGCGGTGAGGCATGATTAAGTATGATTACTTCACATTGTACTGAATAATTACCGACCTATTATCGTGTTAACGGGAACTGGACTTCTTTGTCATTTCATCCAAGGGGTAACTGTTCTAACTGTCATATATAGCCCCAAAACTTTCAGAACTTTGATTGCAGTTGCACAGAAAAAAAACATTTTTCCAAAAGGGATTTTTTCATGAGTTGTTTTCAGATGAGTTCAAAGTTGAAAATGATCACTGCATCAAAATGATATTTTCTGCATACCCTGAGAAAAATGCTTTTAAATAGAAATAAACCAATTTGGTAGCTAAATAAAGCTACCTCAGGTAGGTAAATAAAGCTATGTAGGTAAATCAAGCTACGTAGCTAAATCTAGTGCTTGTACCAGACCTGGCGGACATGAAAATCAAGACTCTGGTTTATGACTTATACACGAAAGCTTTTCGTTATAATAACTCACCTTTTAGTTTAAAAAGGTTCAACTGAGATAAAAATAATTAAGCTATGAGAAAATGTGGAAATTTTCAATCATTTCGTGATTTGTTAAACTTTTGGACGCTTACCGCGAAATTGCAGCAGCAGATACAAAATTAGAATATCGAGCCCGACTGATTTATTTTAAGAAGCCAACTCACCACCTCGAGTAATCAAAGTTGTCTCCCTGTACACCTGAAAAGCAATTTAAATATTTCTTTATTACGCTCTAAATGACAACGGAAATTGCTAACATCGAATTGAAGAAGGAGTTTTTATTTTTATGCCCTTGGATCGAAAGATTCAGGGGTAATATTGTTTCTGTCTGTCGATCTGTTGTAACCTAGCCCATAACTATATTGAGTCGGTGGGGCTGTCTTTCATATTTCATGGGCGTATTCCTTAAGACAAGACCTTTCTTTGGGTACCACTAAATGTGACCTCTTCAGTGTTTCACAAACACATCTTGTTTTAACAGTACGACATTTAACTCTGGACACAACAAAGTCCAGTCTTTTTAATACTATAAATTATATTTTTATATCACTTGGTGGGATTTCTTAGCAATATCCCGGGGTCTCATTTTGAACTCACAAACATCGATATAAAGTCCTAAAACTCAGAATCACATGGGAGAATGGTGGGATTTTCAATCCCACCAACTATCCCACCATTCTCCCATTAGAAAAAAAAGTCAGATGGGATATTTTCTCCCATTAGGATTTTTTCTCCCACAAATTTGTTCAAATGGGATAAATCTCACGGATATTGACAATGAAACAATTTCTCCAATACACTGTGAAACATGAAATATAGATGATCCCATAAACTATGACAATAAGAATTCGTCCCATTTGAACAAATTTATGGGATAAACAATCCTAATGGGAGAAAATATCCCATTTGACATTTTTCTCCCATGGGAGAATGATTGGGTAGTTGGTGGGATTGAAAAATCCCATCATTCTCCCATGGGATTCTGAGTTTTAGGTCTTCATATCTTTAGAAGTGGAGGCGTTTGTGGGTTCAAAATGAGACCCATGATTACTGCTAAGAAATCCCACCAAGTGATTTAAAAATATCTTGGATATCATAATGGTAGTAAAAAGTCTGGACTATGTCGTGTCCAGAGTTAAATGTCGTACTGCTTTTTAAATGCTTTTAATGCCCTGGATCGAAAGATCCCGGTGTTATATGGTTTTTGTTCTGTCTGTCTGTTGTCAACTTTAACCTAGCCCATAATTTTTGAGTGGGAAAGGCTATGGCTTTCATATTTCACAGGTGTATTCCTTGTTTCTACCAGTATGTGACAATAGTCCAAAAACCATGTAAACAAGTAAACATGATTAATTTCTATAAAGATACCATATTATTAGCAGTT